ATTCTACGATTGAAGCTGAATAGTGGGGTTGTAGCTTTGGTCTTAATTGACACCGATGGACAATGATGATACGATAAGCTGTAATGCTTTGTTTTGAACTTTTTTCCAAACTTGACCTGGTTTCAGATTGCTCTCGCGAGTTTTGAAGTTTGTGACCTAATTAAATCATCAAAACATCATCTTGCTAATACAATATTATAGAGAATCAGCTTCATTGGCTGAATAATATAACTTCTTTGTCATACACGATACGTAGAGTCAATCTGACACGAAGTGAAATATAGAGTCAATCTGACATGCTCTCGATCGTTATCAAAATTCAAAACTTTTTTACGAAAATTTATAATTTATTAATAATGATATTATATCCAGAAGATAAAATGAGAAAGACACATGATTGGTCCAAATCTTCGCAAGGAGAATGTGTTGAAAATGAGGATAACTAGTGTTTAGAGATTATTAAGAGTCGCAAAGAGGAAATTGATCCGTATATTTAAAAATGTTATTTTTGAGCTAGTGTGAGTTGAAAGCTACTGAGTGAAAATGAGACACCATGATTGGCTATTCCATGAGGAAAAGAATGAAGCAAATGAAGAGATATGATCACATTTACAAATGGCGATGGGTGGGATCGATTTGTGCACTCAAGATAAATAATTGAGATGCCAATCCCTTTCTGATCACTAAGAGATACAAGTGCAACTAAGAACTCTAGCTAGGACCTACTATTAGAGTAACATTTTAGGGGATGAATTTATAAAAAAAAGTTACAAAATTTCACCGGTCTAGACGACATGCAAGAGATCTGCACGAGTTTAGCGTTTTATGCACCCAATATACATGCATGTCTTTTTTCCCCTGAATTAAGACTTACCCATCTGATTTTCATATCTTTTTATCTAAATTATTATTTTAGATTTAAGAAAGTGGAACAGCTACAATTAGAAGTTTGAATTTTTGAGGTATACTTATATTGAAAAACAAATTAAAAACGTTTTTTCTTTTCTTTTTTTAACCAACTCCAAAAAAAAAAAAAAAAAACTTCTAATAGAATACAATTCTCTAACTTATTTTTCTTACAACTTAAACAATCATTTATAGATCATTTTATTGATCAGTATTACAGTACAATATGTATAAAATTTCTCTATGAGTAAAGTCTCTTCCACTGTCAATCCTCACACTGCTGAAATCTATACTTCATCCTTTTTGCAACACCAACTCAACCAAATACTTCAGTGGCGTGGTGTATATCTTAACTATTTAATTGGTTTTTCAATTATTCGACGTCAAATTAATGGAGCTGGGGACAGATACGAATCTTTCTAAATCCGATATTGCTTGAGCAGAACCACAGAAATATAGACGTGGAGAAAGTGGTAAGAATATTTTAATTTATGAAAGGCAATGTGATTAAACTTCTAGAAAAGCATCGATAGAGCAGCTAGCCATTATCAAAGATTCGTTAGATTACAGATTTTAACTATTACCACGTTTGGTAGAATCTTAGCAATAATGGAGTGAACTTGATCTTGTCTAGCTTACAAAAAAGTATTTTAATATAAAATCCTAACTTTAAGACATACATGGGCTCAATATTAATCCCAATTTACAATAACAGTTACGTCTTCTCTTACGAACTATATTACCTACTGATTGAAGGTACACTGATATCTAACACAACTTACCTAACATACAAAAAAATTAAGAATGCAGAAGTCTTCTCTTAGCGCGCGCGCACACACACACACACACACACACACACACACACACACACACATAGTTTACAATTTTTTGCATATGTTTTTTAGTATTTAGATAAACAAAATGAAAGGTGAAGACTATTTCCTTTGATACTTGGACAAGAGACTACTAAAAAGTTCATTTAATTTGTTATGTATAGTAGTTTTGGCACAATATGTTCGAAGACAAAATTATGGTGCCGCCATTTTACAGAAAGTGGTAATTATTAGGGCATTTTATTCAACTAATATTACGAAGGCCGTGTTCTTTTACTAGAGGCAGCGACTAAAAGAATACAAGGCCAGTCACCAACAACGTCAACAAATACAACAACTGCGACCAGGTGTTGAGACGCAGCGACGTCAAACAATGGCACAATGGCATTACAGGCGCTGAAAAAATCAGCGGCAGCAACAACTCCACTTTCCGTCGCTGCGTCTTCATTTCTAGATTTCTTCGAAACTTAAAACCTGCTATGTATCCATCTTTAATCTTTTGAGTTTTATGTTTCTTATCGCAGCGTTTGAAAGAAAATAACACGGCTGAACGAGTAAAACTAAAAACCACTGAGATTGATTATAGCAATACTATGAGCAATTTCTGATTCATTTTTGTAACCACACTTTCCACTTCAAGTCGCACATGTTGTACAAATGTTTTGTTTTTGAATAAATTTTACATCACATTCAAAAAAAAAGTATAAGGAAATAACTGAACTTTTAGGCTAATGGTTTTTAGTTGTTACTTATAATATATACTATGTTGATGTATCATGAGTTTAATTCGAGACTCTTAAATACTAAAATGTTTCAGTCTAAATATTGATAACTAATTAACTATCAAAACAAAAAATGAAATACGTTCTTTACAATTGTAATGAATTTAGTTACACATCCTTCAGATGGTGAATTTTTTGGTTGTAGAGCAATATCGTTTGCTTGAGAATAGTTAGGGAAACATGAATGGGGGTATTGGGGCAACCGCAAGCGAACAAACCTATGCTACATGCCTAAATTTCTTGCTAGCAGCCGCACAAGAATTTGTCCCGAAGGACCCGAGCCTTCTACTAGATCTTTTAACATGGTTAAGATAGTTTTTGGGAGAACAAAATATGAAATTAAGTTGTCATTCCAAAGAATCTTCGACGTCCAAAAGAAAATATATCAACGTAACTTACTCTTAACAGAACTTGGCATCTCTCTACAATTCAAACCTATCATACACTATAAAAAAATAGATGCAACATAAGTTTTGTAACCTAGATCTTATCCATGAGAATTGGGCTCGTGACGGAAATATATACGCAGGCCGAAGCTGATTTAAATTTGTAACCTATCGTATTATATAAACTTTTTCAACAATTACGAAAGAAAGATGTATTAGAAACCAAAAAGAGAGGAGGAATCCATATTTTCTTGGGCATGTGTCTCCCGTAAAAGTTTTCGGCTTGTGTCTCCAGTTTATTCGACTTTGTAATGGTGGATTGTTCTTATATTTATATTAAAAAGATGAATACTTTTTTTCCTAGACAAAGATGATCGATGTCTTTAAGAATATTTATGGGTGACACACTTAAACGGTGATTTAAAATAACCACCAAATCGAACATTTCTTGACTTTTGAAGTGATGGATTCTCTTTGCCTCTTACTTGTGATGCTTTATCGTCATACTTCGGTTTCTTTTAGACCGTCAAAATCATACAGTATATTCGTTTTCTACATTCTATCAAAGTTATTCTGATTCTCTATAAATAATTGACTTGAATCTCGACGGATACATTATTAATCCCCGATTTAAACGATTGAAAATCGAACCGTACTTTTCATTTTAAAATGGTTGCATCTTATTCGGCTGCTTGCAAGAAATCTTTGGGCCTAGAAATAGGATGAAAGTAACTTGCTTATATTAATAGCTTGGTTGCTTCGCTTTTGTACCCTTTGTTGTTCGATTGAAATGGGTTTGAACTTTGATTTGAAGGTCCAGATTCCAGAGTCCAGACCGACAGACTTGGCCTTCTCTGCTTTGAACAAATCAGTACCACTCTTAATCTCTTAACATTAACTTTGTTCATCTTTCAGTCTACAAAAGTAAATTACTTTGTAACAAGTTATAATGATGTATTAAACAATGAATGAGAATAATACAATTCATTGACATTTTTAAAAACAGGTAATCGATTCGCTCATCTATGACTATGAGAGAGGACACAAATTTTGGGAGTTATATATATATTATGATTGGGGATCACGATTAGAAACATGGAACATGTGTGTATGCATGTGAAGGCGACAACTTCAATATATATAACAGAAATACAAATACAAATCTCCCTTAGTTACTTATTAAACGAAAATAAAATAAAGATGAGTATAACTAGTTTAAGTATTATATGAAGCCACGCTTTGTCATCGAATGACCTTTCGACTGATCAAAGGGACTAACCCTTTGAACCCCATTCACCTCTTATACGGCCACTGCTTCTTTTGGCATATCCACTTGCATCTATCATTTTAAAATAGAAAGTCATTCCTCCATTAATTATCACTATAATACATGTAGGTCCTTGTATTCAGTTAAATAATCAGTATAAATAATTTGAGTGCTGATGAAATAGTTTGGTAGAAAAAGAAAAATAAATGAACTCAGTCGGCATTTTAGTGGTTTTTGAAAGGAGTGGTGAGATTGGCTATAGCGTCATTTGTATCGAAAAGTTGTGAAAGAACATAAAAAAGTCCTCCATTTTGAAGGAAATGAGTAAAACACAATTATAAATAAAAAAAACTAATACATGCACACACACACGCACATCTTTAGGTTAAAACCAATAACTTATGTATACTGATTGTTTTAGAACTCGGTTTCTAACTAATCAGAAAACATAACCTTCAGCTTTATTAGTGTACCACAAAACTGATCATTGATTTTGATTTACAGAACACTGAAAAGTAGATTAATATTTTGTGTAAGTTATACTTAATCAAGACAATGTTGTCTTGAGGAAATTTTAACAAAAAAAAAACATTGTTGAGGAAATCATTCTAGTTCCATTCCATATTTGGTCACATATGCCTTTGCTAGCGTAAAAAAAGTCCACCGTCTATTATTTGTATCATTTTATGAACTATATAATTTACTTTGACTAGTGAACTCCTATAATCATCTCTCTCTCTCTCTCTCATCCTTTTGGTATAAGTAGAAAGAGAACATGTTTTTAAGTCTTTGTTGAAAAATTTACATCAAAACCCTCCCAACAACCATGGCTTCGCTTCAGGTGAAGTCTCTACCTTCTGGCCACTTACAGCTTATTCGCCGGAATCTCATTACTCCGACGGTTTTAAAAGCTCCGTCAATGGTATCCGCCGGTTTCAGAAGCCAGCCTTTCTTAGGACTTTCTTCTTATGATCTACGTATTGATGCATCGGTGAGGCAGATGAGAGGCTTTAAGTCGTGGAGCAATCGCCGGCGAGTAAGCAAAAGCGTCGGCGTGTTTATGTCGGTGGCTTCGGCTGATGATTTTCCGGCGATTTCTTTGGACTCTTGGAAGCCTGACAAGACCACGGTGGCTCCGTCGCTGAGTGACGTCATTTGGCCTGCAGCAGGTAATTTTTATTTATTTATTTATAAAAATTTGTGAGAAAATAAAATAGATAGAAAATTTGTTAGACAGCAATTTTGTTTGTCCGAAGACAAGGGAAGAGAGAGAGAAGATACAAAGAGATCGTGTCCCTCGCAACGACCAAATAGCCAGCTATTGATAGGCTTTGAATCTAACTGTTTTGCGGTTGACAATTTCTCAAATTTAGTACGAATCTTAATTATTAAGATCGTTCTTAATTAAATCTTATAATCTTAATTGATAGAAACGTAAAAGACTATACGTATTCAAAAATAGTCAGCGTCTATCAAATCTCTGAACGGAGACATAAATTATCAGTTTTTAACATTTTATATTTTGCTATAAATATATGTCAAATGAAAAAAATCACCTATAGTATGGATTTAGTCATGTCATGTCAATGATGTCATGCTATTATAATTTTCGAACATGCATGCAAAAGAATTGAATTCATAAACGATTGATCAAATTAAATATATATGGGTTTGGATATATATTCAGAAATTTTAAAACTGTTTGATAATTTTGGTATGAGAAAAATAGGAGCGTTTGCAGCGATGGCGATAATGGGAAGAATAGATCAAATGTTAAACCCTAAAGGGATATCTATGTCGATTGCACCACTTGGTGCCGTTTCTGCCATTCTCTTCACCACTCCTTCTGCTCCTGCTGCTCGGGTATTTTCCTAAACACTTTTCTTTATTTGCGACTGAAACGCTAGTTGCAAAAAAAAAAGGCGCCTTAAAATGCTATAGCTAGTGACTAGTGTTGATCAACATGCATGGTGATGGGTGGTTGCATGTGTTTATTTATTTCAGAAATACAATATCTTCATGGCTCAAATAGGTTGTGCAGCCATTGGAGTCTTGGCATTCTCCATCTTTGGACCAGGATGGCTGGCCCGCAGCACCGCCCTTGCCGCTTCCGTCGCGTTTATGGTCATTGCTCGTGCAAATCATCCGCCTGGTACCTGAATTATATACTTTTTTTTCTTATTATTTATTTATTTTTGGGAGTTTTTGAATCAAATTCATTGGTTATAAAGAAAGAACACGAATATTCCATTTTCTTGTATATATAATCTATATATAAGTTTTGATCTATCTGTTTTGAAGTCTCCTAACGAAAAAAACAAACACAAAGATTGATCTTTGCATATGATTTATGTAACGAAAAACAGCGGCGAGTTTGCCACTACTATTCATAGACGGAGCAAAGTTACATAAGTTGAACTTTTGGTACGCTTTATTTCCAGGTGCAGCCGCTTGTATCCTCCTCTGCTTCCTCGTAAGCCTTCCCTAATTCAATTACCTTCTCAATTTCATTTCATCATCTCCAATTTATTCACAATTTTTTGTTCCTTTAATGAAAATTATTGTTTTCTTGCTTTAAAATTATTTGATTAGATGTTTCAACTTTGCAGCAAGAGATCGTGTGCTACTTGAAGGATAACTTGAAATTTTGACGAATGGAAAATGGACACGTGTTTATATATGTATACTATACACACATTGGTGAAAGAGATCCTGTGCAGATTTTGATTCATGTTAGACGTTTTCATGGTAGATCGATGGTCGACGTACTTTATTGTATCCCATATATACAGATGAATATATTACACAGATATATACGTTTCTACGAAACTTATAATCTACTTTTGCTTCCTGTTTTGGGTCTTTACGTTGACCTCGATTAGTTTAGCGAAAGAGTAATGCGTAGAAAATGGAGAAATGTATATTGTTTCGTTCTTCAAAACAACTAAAACGTGTATATTCATTAATGGAAAGTCTTGTCGCGTGACGGTGAAGAAACATCATGTAACATCAACGGAAACTCGGGGTGGTCGGTGGGTACTTTGGTTTTGGGTATCGTTCCAATATCTAGCGACTAGAGCACTTAGGCATACAATCGCTCACAAAATGTTTAAAATATAACCATATTCCTTCCACTAGGCTTTAATCATGATAAGACATTGTTAATATATAACTATGTTAAGTGTGAAAGACATTTTAATCAATATCTACTAACTTGACTGCTTTTTTATCTACGATTGTGCCACTTAGCTTTTTTTTCTTTGTTGGTGAAGTTTAAAAGTTCGTTTACTATAAAAAGTCTAGTATTTAAAAACCATATCTCCAAATTCCTTCAACAAAGTTACAAGCTAAGTAATGCAGGACAAAAAGTTGTATAAAGCGGTAAGCAAAAACCACCAACCTTCAAAAATCCATCCCACGAAAGTTTTAGTGCAGAAAATTATTGTATGATTTATAAAAGGATCAAGGCAAAATCGAGTGTAACAAAACTTAAACTATAGAAAATAATTTCCGTATTTTGAAGATAAGATTTATGTACATGCAATTAATGAAATTTTCGAAAAAATTTGGGTAAACTGAATAAAAAATTTGGTCTTCTTCACCTAAAACCATAAGTAAAAGGTGCATCTGAACATTGTTTTATCATGAAAGACTTAAAGCACGAACAATTTTAAGACCCCACAAAGATTTTCTCTTCTTTCAACTCCAATTTATTTACAACGTAAGACTGTCAAAAGACTCAAAGGTGAAAACTTTTTAAGGGGTGGGAAGGCAAAACTTGAGTCGAATTGTTTTCCTTAAAATCAGTCGAGAGTTAAGTGTTCGAATAGAATTTCACTCACAACTTTTGCTTTCATCGCCGAGATGGAGATCGATCGGCCAAGACAGGAGGAACACCACCGTTCTCTGCAGTCTCCAGAGCGGTGTCTGAGTGGACCGGGTGAATTAGGGACTGGAGTCTCAAGAAGTAGCTCTCGCTTTGAAGTTGGCTTCTTACGTACCGAGCTTCTGTTGTTTCTGTGTTCCCCTGTGACGGCTGTTGTGTTTCCGAGCTCTGGAGGTTGGACAATGCGCTGAGATCGAGGTCTGGAAAAACCGAGGACCGACACCGAGGACATTTCACGTTTAAACGCAGCCACTGGTCTATGCACTCCACATGGAAGTTATGGGCGCAAGGTAAACCTCTAACCTGTACAATTCAGGCAATTACCACTCATTCAAGGAAAGCACAGACTCGAGAAAAGTGTGCAAGCACAGTATTGAAGCAAAGAAGTATAATATTTTAGAAAAGAGATGTTTAGTACCTCATGTCCAATATGGAACTCCTCTAAGCAGATTAAGCATTCGCCGCAATCATCTGGGACAGCTTTTAACCTGAACTTTGGAAGCTCTTGAATGAGTGCCTCGACAGCTTCTGTCTGTTTATCAGAGCAAAAATCATTAGATGTTTGGAATATTGAGTCGGAGATAAGGAAAAGGTAAAAATGGACATAATATGAATGTTGAGTATGTGCTTCCCCGGGGTTAGAGAGATTGAAACCACAGATAGAGTAGCTTTTAGTCATATTTCTGCTAGGGACAAGTTACTAAATTCTTAGCGTGCTGAGAATAAACAACAAGACTTGCCTGAGCTGGAGTCAAGTAGAGTCCAGGATGGTATGTAGCAGCATCTTGACTTATGCCTCTCATCTCTTGGCCTGCGGCTTCAAATGCCCAATCAGGTACCCTAATCATGTCAACTAAAATCTGGGGACAACAAAACAGACATTGAAATCATGCTCAGAAGTGTCAGAGACTAGTTGCAACTTAGCACTTAGAAACAAAGACTACAATAACCAACTACGCAAATGATCTTCTTGTATAAAAGGAAGTGAAGTTAATAATCGGATCTTGAAACTTACACCGAACTCTGAAATCGGAATTCCCTGCTGAGCACGTAATAAGTGGACCTGTCTTCGCGCCAACCACTATCAAACAAACTCATATAAGTGAAGTGTCCTCTTCAGAGTTCAGACCAGCAAATAAGCTTGAATAAAATTCTACCTTTCCAACACAGATGCAAGCAATGCAGAGGAGGCCACAGTAGCTGAACATCAGCCAAATGAGGAAACCCCATTTTTGTCCTTCTTCAGGTAACTATCGCCAGAGAAACACATAATAGCTCAGCTACAGGATTTGTAACAAGGAGAATCATATGAAATGTTCATCAAAATGCTTACACAGCTTTTTGCTTTTGTGAACCATATTGTGCCGATTACAGTCCAAGCCCACATAAATGGATACAGCAGCAGAGATAGGACAGAGAGGACCACCACTCTCCCACAAAACCCGGCGTTTCGCTGTTGACTTCCAAAATCCCTAACAGATGTTCATACCAGAAATCAATGTTAAATGAATAAACTAACTTAACCTGTAGACTTTGCTATATAGCATGATAGAGAAACATTGCAACTACAGAGATCAAGCTTGCAATTCTAAAGATAACCCAAAATAGTGTAAGATTCTACACACTACTCAGCTGGAATTGCAAAGAAAGTTGATGTTACCCTTTAAGCAGAAAAGTTTCATAATCTAATCCTTTTCAATGAACTACATGCTAATCTAAGGAATTGCCAAGAACAGATTAAGCAAAAGATTCTTCCTTTAACTAACAAGTAACAACTATGGGAAACCATGAAGATTCAAAACCTTCAAATTCACTATAAATCTAGGACTAGGAGATTTAGATGGGACTTACAAGCCAAGTCCAGCAGCAAGACCATTGTCAACAAACATGAAGACGCGGAAGATAAAGACGGTGGTGTAATCAACCTGACGTAGTAGAAACAAACAAAACCGTGAGAAAATAACAAAATTTTATAAGATTCCAAGGAAATGAACACAAAGGAACTAAAGCTGGTCATAAGCAAGAGCCAAAAAAAAGTTGAAATGAGACACTTACCACTATCCATATATGCAACGGGTATTCACACGCCTGATATCTCTTCCAGTTGATAGCTACAATGATTCTACAACGCAAAAACCATTAAGGAAACGAAATCGAGAAGTTACTTAGATCAATCACCTAAACCCCTAGTAAAAAAATACAGCTAAGATTTTTCGACTAAGTTCCTCAAATCCTTGAGAGCCAAAACAACACAGAAAACTGGATCTTCAGGAGAAAATCTACATCGTATCCGTAAATTGAAAGGTACTGAAATCATTTCCGAGATTGAGAACTTTTCAGCTCGATCCAAGCAAGAACAAAAAAATCTATGACGGAAAAAAAAAAAACAAATTTCGCAGAATCTAGAAAGCAGAGATATAAGGATACACACTAGTTGCAAGCATCGACAAGAAGAACCCATCATACCTGCAGAATTTCATAAACGTAACCCACAAAATTAGATAACGAAATGGGAATTGACTATCAAAATTGGAATCCGTCTCCTTTAGATCGACCCCAAGTAAAAGAAGATTGATATAGAGAGAGCTCACCACTTGAAATCGACACCTCTCATCGCCATGAGAGCGGTGGAGGAGAGTTAAAATCCGAGAGAAGGAGAAAACTTAACGGAGCTTGAAGAACAAAATGCTTGAATCGAATCCGAAACGGAACTCGAATTCTCAGCTGATGCGCAGTATCTTAGCGGATTTTAGGATCGTGCGTGAGTGAGAAGAAGAAAAAGAGGGATTTTGGAGCCAAGTAAAGTAGAGCGATTGCGATGAAGAAAAGGAATTAAAGAGAAAACGGAAACCTCTGCTTTAGGAAGAAGGTTTCACCAATTGGGTAATTTTTGATTTGTTCAACAATTTCTGTCATTTGTCATTTTAATTACTAATTAGGTCAGATTAGGTGTTGGTTCAAGTAAGGAAAACAAAACAAATAATACTCTATTTGGTTCATGTATTTGACTAGTCACAGCAAAAGAATAATCTGACCCTGACCAGATAGAATTGTAAGATTTTTTTCCAAAAACTCTTTGTTACCTGGATTAATGTTTACAAAACAGAAAAAAATAATAAAAGTATCACAATCAGAATTCAGAACCGATCTTGATATTTTCAAATTTATTAATAATCACAGGAGAAATATATTTTTTCATGATAAAAGTCATGATTCATCTATAATTCAAAATATTTAGAATTTTATCACTCCAAATGAGATATAAGCACAAATATTTTGTTCGATTTTTTTTTGTTACATAAAAGTTTCTAAAATTCTGAATAATTTAACTCCTTAAACAAAAAAACAAAAAAAACTGAATAATTTAAATTTTGAAGACATGTCCTGTAATTTTGATGGAACGTGTGCATAGTTAGGTACATGTAGAATCTGTATATACACTAGTTGCAATGTACTTTCCAGTATTAGACAAACCAAATAAACCAAAACACATGACTCATTGTAACAGCTACTATATGATATGAAGGAAATAAGTTACAGTGAGAACTTGATTACACATTTATTACAGTTGTATAACAACCCGTTACTCAAGTTACAAACCATGGCCTTAAATTTTAGAGTCTTCTATTCTTTTATTTAAAAGCATTGATGATAGGAAACAAACTCTAGAGATCAGATCAGATCCATGCAGGGTTATCAAGAGCAGTGACGACTGCCTTGACTTGCAAGTAATTATTGAGGCTGTAAATACCTTTCTCTCTGCCAGTGCCACTCATCTTGTAACCACCAAAGGGAATGGCTGCGTCAAAGACGTCGAAGCAGTTAACCCAAACGGTGCCAGCTTTCAAAGCCCTCGAAACCCTATTTGCTGTGTCCAGATTCTTTGTGAATACCCCTGCCGCTAGCCCGTACCTCGTATCGTTCGCCCTCCTTATCACCTCATCCACATCCCTATACCCAACCATATGAACAAACCCTATCACATTTCCCGGTTATAGTAACATGGGAAGTCAAATTTCCTGGTTATAGTATACGTACCTGAACTTTAAGATTGATTGAACTGGACCGAAAATCTCGTCTTGAGCGATAAGCATGTCGTCCTGTTTGAGACCAGAAGGATACCGGTTAATGCCATAGAGAATCAGAACAGAACAACACTGAACAAGTCTTTAGTTGGAAGAGACTATTTCTTTCTTTTTACCTTAACATTAGAGAAGACTGTAGGTTGGATGAAGTAACCTTTGTCTCCAATCTTATCCCCACCACATTCAAGAGTAGCATTGCTTTCTACACCTGACCTTATGTACTTCAAAATTTTCTGAAATTGCTTTGAATCGATCTATACAAAAATTTTAGTAAGAACCCTAAATCAATAAATCAACAAATAAGTTAAAACAAGTTCTTTTGACTCAGGTTGTGTGTGTAACCTGAGGACCCTGCTCAATGCCTTTCTTGAAAGGATCACCAACTACACGTTTCAATGCACGCGCCTTTGATTTCTCAACAAACTCATCATACACTTTCTCATGAACATATGTTCGAGACCCCGCACAGCAACATTGCCCCTACAAGAAACATTACTTCACATATTTTAACTCAAAAAGTTGAGTAAGTGCAAGCTCAAGGTATATTCAATATTTCTACTATTGCCAAAACCTGGTTGAAGAAGAGAGCAAAGTGTGCAAGCTCTACAGCTTTATCAACATCAGCATCTTCAAACACAATGAGCGGTGATTTCCCTCCAAGTTCCAAAGTCACCGGCTTGAGATTGCTGTTAGCAGCTAATCCAAGTATGACTTTGCCCGTATCAGTCGATCCTGTGAAAGCAAGCTAACAAGAAAAACAACAATGTAACATAAACTTAGTATCTTAAGAAGTTAAAGAGGAAGCAAATAGATATCTCTACCTTGTCTACATCCATGTGACTTGCAAGTGAAGCACCAGCTGTTGGACCGAATCCAGAAACTATATTCAGAACACCCGGAGGAAGACCAGCCTATATCATATGTTTCAAAAAAATGTTATTACTCATATATAAGTTTCTTGTCCTTCTAGCAAGAACTTGAAATAGAGAATCAATCTTACTTCAAGGAAAAGCTTGCCGACGTAGAAAGCAGTGAGAGGCGTTTGCTCAGCGGTTTTGAGGACAATGGTGTTACCACAAGCAAGAGCAGGACCAACTTTCCATGCAAACATCAAAAGTGGAAAGTTCCACGGAATGATCTGTCCAGCTACACCTATTGGTTCATGCAGTGTCTGAACATGATAGTTTCCATCTGCTGGAACTGTCATCCCATGAATCTTATCAGCCCATCCTACACATCAAAACCAAAAACCAAAGAATGTTCATTCATCAAAGCAAAAAGCAAGAAGATTTTTCACAGAACTTCTCAGGAATTCGGTTGATGTTTTTGAGACCAGCATAGTAGCGGAACAATCTGGCGAGCATTGGAATTTCAGCTGTTAAAGATTGTTGGTAAGGCTTCCCATTGTCCCATGACTCTAGAGACGCAAGCTCTTCGCTGTGTTTCTCAACCAAATCAGCAAATCTCAGCATTATTCTTGACCTTTCCTGAAAAAAACCAATCCCAAATCCAAAACCAAGATCAGACTCATTTTCACATTAAAGTTTCATTAAATGTAAAAGACTAATTAAGAACATTATTCATATACATAAGCAGTCATCTTAGGCCAAGGTCCTTCATCAAAGGCCTTCCTTGCAGCTTTCACCGCACGATTGATATCTTCTGCATCTCCTTCAGCTACGTGCGCAATGACTTCCCCTGTTCGCGGATCAAGAGTCTCGAACGTCTTACCTAAATCCCCAAATTAAAAAAAGGAATCACAACACTCAAACTTTGCCTGTTAAATGCTCTAAGCAGAGCACTTTTGTGGGAAAAAAATAAACAAAAAAATGGAAACTTTAATGACCAGAAGCAGAGTCTACGAAGTTCCCATCGATGAGGAGCTGTGTGTAAGAGACTTGAACAGATGGGCTTATGATTTCTTCAGCTGCAGAAGAGGTTCCGAATCTCCTTACGATCCTACTTCCACTGTAACCATTTCTCCCTGAAAATGGTCATGTTTTTATATCATAAACTAGATTCTTTCATAGATCCAGACTTCAGAGAGTCTAATTGTCGGTGTGTTTCATAGGTAATCACAGTATCTAAATCACTAGCTAAACTTGTGCTAATTTCCCAAAATTAACTAGATATGACGTGATTTCCAATATAATTCATGATCAATCGAAACAGAGCATACTGAATTTAGAAAGATCGTTTTAAAGATTTCACTGAAACAGAGACATGGATAGAACAGGGGTTTGTATGTATGTGTGGGTACCTTGAGAACGGAACAGAGAAGGAGATGAAGCTGAAAACGATCGAGATAACAGAGAAGAGACTCTGCGAGCCGCCATGGATGCCATTAAATTCAAACTTCAAAGTTCTTATCTTTACTTGGGATTTTCTTCCTCTTTAATCTCTCTCTGTCTCTGTCTCTGTCTACTGGAGTTTATATTTGGATTAGAAGGAGGAATTCAACGGTCAAGATCTCTTGGGCATTCTCATACACATGTCGCTTAAGTTGCACTCTCTTGGTGTGAGTAAAGTGTGTTGCCGTACTTCGAATGGCTTTGACTTGTTGACGTATTGTCCGTTTTCCAATAAACTGAAATGTGAAAGACACATAAAGCCATTAATTAGTACTGTAATAAGAGAAAAATTATATGCTACCTTAATAAATCAAAGAATAAGACAAACAGAAATATTTTTGCGATAAACTTCCGTGATCTCCGATTTATATACTCCACATGCATAACGATATTTTAATTATTCCACTTTGGCTCTAACTGCAAAAGAAAGTTAATTAATTGCGGATTACCTACAATTGGAATTAATAATAAAAATAAAAATATTTAACTGCAATAGTTGCATGTTAGGGTGTGATGTCGTTTTCTTGCGCGGTAGTTGTGTCATCTTATTGATATGTTATTCATCTTTTTGTTGTTGTAAATATTTACTTTGTGTGATGTTCTAGTCCGTTGAAAGTTTTCCGCAAATAAAGAAAAATATCATCTGATTATTTTTCTCTTCTTCTACAACCCTACAAATAAGGAATTTTCATGGTGACATTTTGATTGCAGTGGGAAAGTTCTACTACTCAGAAGATTACTAATCAAGAAAATAATTAAAGTTTGAAAAATATGATTAAAATTGAGAAAATGTGCGACACAGAAGAAGCAGAAAATATCAGCGGCTGTAATTTTTAATGGAGCGGCAAAGTAGATTTTATTTCTTATAATGTTGTTTATGTATGGTGCTAGAGTTTGTTTAAGTATTTTGTGTTTTTTTTTCGTCTATTGACCATTTAGTTTGGTAAACTCTCGTCGATCAGAATTGTTATTAGTGTAAACTCTCGTTGATCAAAATGATAGGACCATTTAGTTTGGTAAACTCTTTAAGTCCTATCATTTTTTTTAACAAGTGGTCTTTTAAAATGATTTTAAAACAAAAAAAATTTGAGCCATAGTAAAATCAGTAGACTCCAATGCATTTGTTTCTAAGTTTCAAAGCCTATTTCAATCGTACAACCTACTAGGCTACCACTATTACAACATAAGTCCACACCAATAAAAGCTGTAGCCTGTAGGAGCTAAGTGTGCGTTGGATTGAAATCGACATATGATTGACCACACATGTGTACTCACACAACTACTTAAATATGTGATCATGTATTCATGTTTCTTCTTTATATACCTGAATAATAGTAATAATTACACCAAAAAGCAGAGTCTGAAAATCCTATATGCAATTTTTTCACACAAAAAAAAACAAAAAAATCAAAAGAATCCTGGATCCTCTGGTTTAAACATCTTAGGCATCTTCAAAGCCGGATCATCAGGATCAATTCTTGAAGACCCTCTTTGGTTCCCTAAACCTCTCTTCGTATTAGCTGCAAACTTAGAAGCTAATATCGTCGCACTCAAATTCTGATTATTGCTGCTGTTGTCGTCAACACTATTACTACTTCCCGGCATGGTCTCTTGGTATTGATATTCTCCATCATAATCATCATCATAATAGTAGTCGTCTCCTTCCTCTTGCCTAGCTAACTCCATAGCTAATTTCCTCTTCACGTGTCGCCTCCATGCAGCTTGTATAAAGCCAGTTCCCCACGCTCTCCATTGATGCGAATAGTACCTGCTCAAGAAACTCTAGCGTTTGAAGCAAGAAACTTTGATTGCGTGTGAAGTAAGCAAGAAACTACTGTTACCTGAAAGCATGTTGGAGTTTCTTGCTGTGGAGGCGTCTGAATTGGCTAGCTACGAACTTCAAGTCCTCTGCGCGGAGAGCGAAAGCTTCTACTTCAGAGAGTGTCCTCACTGTTCTCGTGGACAACGGGAGATTAGGGGCAATGTTTGGCATTAAAGCCCAAGTTAAGAGCTCTTCACCACAGAAATCTCCTGGTCTAAGCGTGATGGAGTTAAAGAATCCTGATCGTCCACCATCTGTAGTCGAACTCTCCATCTGACCTCTAATGATGAAAAGCATCTCGTTCACAGGATCGCCTTCGCGTATCACGTATGTGTCTTTAGTGTTCAACGATGGAACCAAACGCTCGCATATTGCGTCTAAGAGCTGGTCATCCATCTGTGCAAAGAATGGCACCTAATAAAACAAAAATGTAGAATTAGGGTTATTTACTTGGAATGGAAGTAATCAAAACGTGTTGTTCCCATGTGGCTTACACGGCGAACTAGAGCTAGACAGAGATGCCTCTGGATCTGTCTACGAAGATCCAATGGTAGAGCGCGGAGGATTGCTTCTTCGTCAACTCCACGAGTCGTTAACCATTTGTATTGGACGAATCGCCTCACACGCTCTTGTAACTCTTCTGGCAACTGTCTGTGTCGCATCCATTCCTCTGTATCTCTTCTTCTGACTCTCCATTCGTCTAACCTAGCCGTCGTCGATTGCAGATAGTTCTTCAAGAAATTAACAATCACATTAAGTCTCCATTGTTAAGTTATAGATGGAGAGATATTACATAGGCATTTAATGAATTACCTGAACATTTCCAATGAGATGTGAGAAGAAAACAAGACCCGCGACACATATGAAACAACTGAATATAGTCTCGCTACTCAGTGTACTCGCTGCAAGACTTTGTCCATAAGAACTACACAAACCAAAACAAACGAAACATCAGTATATACAGAAAAATTCAAAAATCTGCGGTTTGATTTGATTCAAGATTAACCTAACCTGAGATTACGGAGACCCCACCAGAGGCAGTAGAAGTATTTATCAAAGAAAGGAGATGAAGTGACGTCATTAGTGAAGGCATCACCGAACATACCAAACTGGAAATGCTGGTCATCGTCGTTACGTGCGTCACAATTAGAGAGAACCCTAGTGATCCGCATCCAGGCTTGTCTTCCTGGATCCTGCAACGATCCACAGTCTAGAAACAAGAGACTACAAGACGGTGAATGCGTAGCATTCATCTCCTTAGTGCACTCTCTTCTCCAGCATTCGTGCTGTCTCTGGATCGATAAAACGTACCACACCGAGCCAAGAACCTAAAAGGAAAAAAAGTCAAATAGTGAAACAGAGACATTAATTGTAAGGTCATGGAGATAGATAAGGGTTTGCTTACGTGGCTGACAAGTAAGTAGAGGATGATATTGTAGGCTGCACCGGACCAGGCTGTTTTGGCTGCGACTCCGGTGGCTTTTATGATCCGACGGTTGAGAGGAAGCATGACGAGGAAACGAGGCACGTATTGTATCAGGACAATCAAGGAAAGCGTGTGGTTCTGATGAGCTGCGTATCTAAATTCTCCAGCATTTGGGATCACAAACCAAATCATTATCTGATAAAAAAACAGAGATGTATTTGTTTAAAGAACAGAACATCTTATTAATAAATCTAGTGAATGCTAGAATGATTTGAAAGAATTTTACCAAGTCACAAAATTCTTTACAATATCAATTTGTGATCAGTTTTTTTTTTTTCTTCTGAGAATATGCAAGTTTAGTGATCTACCATTCTGAAAGTTTTTGATAAAATTAAGGGTTTTTTTTTTTTTTTTTTTTTGCTTGATTGTTTATGCATTTTCCATTTCAACACATCTTACCATTCCGCCATTGTTACCTGAGGAAGAGGAAGCGAGGCTGCGATGTCGATGACGAACTCAGATTTGAGATAACGTAGGGCGATTTCACGGCGGTCCATGACGAGCTCACCGCGACCAAAGACTCTAGACGATTTGGAGACAAAGGCTGTTTTGAGTTTGAGGAGAACGTGGATGAGGAAGGTGAGATCGGCTAGGGTTCGGAAGAAGGTGACGAGGATGCCGAAACGAACGTCGATGGACATACAGGCGGTTCCGGCTTGGACGATGGGGAGATAGAAGTAGAGAGGGTCGAGGAAGAGAGCGAGAAGACAGGTGACGAGGAAGATGTGGTTCCATCTCGTGATTAGGTCACCTCTTGGGTCGAGGGTTTTGTTACGGAGCTCGGAGAAGACGGATCGATGGCGTTGGTGTTGGAGGTCGTTGTTGTTGTGGTGACGGCGGGAGAACGCCGTTGGGAAATTGCGGAGGCGTGCGGAGGTGTGGAGGTGGAAATTGCTCATTTCGGTTTCGTGTGAATCAAGTTATGGAAGGGAGACATTTGTGGGAGTGGAAGAATGAGAGAATATTGGAGACAATTAAGGAGAGGAGAGAGAGAGGGAGTCTCTTTTGAATTTTAATTTAATTAGTAAAAACATTTAATCAATCGAATAGTACTTAAGAACTTAATATTTCTTTTTGTCAACAAGATTTTGTAGTGATTGAATTCAAGCGGTGTAGAAACACTTTCAAAGAAAATATCTATTGACGTCAAAGGTTTTTTAAAATAAAAAAAATATTTGTTTGGTTGGAAATTTTGTTATTCGCACTAAACGTTATTGATAGATTATTCTAATATATAGTTAACAGTAAAAAATGGTTGATCTCTGGTGAACTAAAGTTATGGATCCACTTCTGCTTATAGATTGTCAAATAATGTGGTTTGGTTACTTCTGAGTGGAGATTTTAGACAAACTGTACCAGAGAGAGAGAGAGAAAGTGGGAGTCTCTTTGAATACAGGATGTTACTTCATAATTCAAGTAATTCATATACAGGATCATTTCATGTCCTATCTGATACCAACATGTATTGATTTTTGAAATTTTTACCTATCAGGTAAATTGCCATATACCATAACCAATTGGTTACGAGTATTTTGGATCGGTTCGGATGCGGTTATCGGGGTAGTGGGTAAAAATCACATGCCTACAGCATACATAATGAAATTATTACAAAATGTTTATGAAATGCTTAATTCCAAAATCCAATTAACAAGAATCTAAAAGTGAAATTAGAGAGAATTTGCACAAGCAAACATGATCTATATCTTCCGAGTTCAGAGGGCAATGACTTCCCCTGTGCACGCGGATCAAGAGTCTGGGGAAATGGGCTCAATTAATCTCTCTCTCCCATTCTTCTCTTGTGCTCGTGAATGAAGGAAGATTCTTCTCTTTCCCTCTTCCCCAAACTTACTCAATTTTGGTGAAATTACATAATCTGCTCAGCTTTGTTATTATTACCCGAATTTCGTTTAAGTTTCACATGGATCACAATTCACACACCCTCACTCACTTGCTTCTTGAATCCTCGTCTCTATTTAATGTCTCCATAGCAAAGGCAAAAAACAGAAGAGAAATGGCTCCTAAAGCAAAAACAATTTAAGCCATTGCTTCAGCCATTAAGAAACGACAGGTTATATAATTATTCCATCACTTTGCTCTTCCATCTTTTTTACCTTTCGATCCTTGTAGCCTTTCTTAAATTGATTTTTTGTTGTTTTAGTTTAGGTACTTCTCGTGGAATATGTGAAAGCTCCGGCGGAACTGGCGGCGACGGGCTGGACGGAACTAATCAGACTACAGTATAATCTTTTCGACGGGACTACCTGGTATGTGGTATCTCTGGGAAACGACCCCCACCACCTCCACCTCCTTCCACCCCCGTCTCCTGGGCTTCTCCTTCCACCATCAGCGATTACACTGTAGTCACGGTCAGTGCCGTCAAGCCCGTCGCCGCCAACAGCTCCGCCGGAGGTTCCACATATTCCAGCTTGTGGTCCTCTTCTTGTGGGCTTTATGTCGCCGTTTTTCCTTAATCAGCGCTCCGGATATGTTCCAAAGAAACACAAAACATTTTTCGGAACGTTTCGCTTGCCCTGTATAAGTCTCTTAAATTGTCTCATTTTCGAAAGTCTTGATTGAAGAATTATTTTAGTACTTTTGTAGACATATAATACAGTAACTATGTCCAGTTTTAGATAATCATACAGCAACTATGTCCAGTTTTAAAGTAGACATATAAAATGTGTTTCGCAGTGGAGCAATAAAGAACAACAAATTCACATCACGATTTCACACACTTTCCATTTTTTTATACACACTAATCGATAAATGACAAAACAAAAAAATCTTCATTTTGAATTGCGAAATCAGCTTTAAGTTTCTTTCATCTTCTCTTTTATCCTTGTGAATTCACAACTGTAAATAAGTTAATTATTAATATTAACCATTAATTAACCACATAGCGGTAACTTCATGGTCTAAGACTACTCTAAGTGCTTTAAGACCATGTCCATCCCTAAAACCAAATATTTGGTTCTAAGCAATTTTTTACTATTAATTTTCACACAAATCAATTTAACAACTTTTGTGTGGAATCTTTAACTAATTCTTCCTCCATCGCTAAAATCTTTTTTTGGTTCTTAACAAAAACAAGATTAAATTTTACAAAAACAAAATACACAAGATGGTGTATCAGATTCAACCTGATCTTGACACAATTTTCGGTTCTTGACTGCTAACAAGAAGACACTACCTATCCTCGTAAAGGGGTTGATATCCTTTTCCTGTCTTCTCTTAGTGTACCTGTAACTCCTTCTTCCTAAAACGAATAGAACAAGCTAGAGAGACCAACATGAACACGCATGGGATTCCAAAACCGAGTGCCCAGCTTACGGATTCTTGAATGTACACAACGACTACCAACGCCAAGCAGATTCCTGCAGACATACTAAGGTACCACCAGTTGAAGAAAGAGCTTATGTGACTTCTCTCTTAAGGGTCTTTTTCATCAAACTGATCTGCCCCAAAAGCTTGAACACAAGGCTTACGTCCACTTTGTCCAATGGCAAGTATATACAGAGAGAAGAAGAAGAAGTCACTTCTGTGTTCTCGCTAGTGATGGGAACCAAAAACGCAGATAAACTCAAAAGTTTTAAACCCTGACATTGAAATCCGGCTCAAGTCAATTTCAAAGATCTCAACTTTATGATCACTGACCCTAATGCTAATCAATTTCGACCATTCCTTCGTCTAATTTTGAATTGAGATAAAAAAAATCGGGAAAGAGAAGGAGACTAACCAGTATGTAGATAAGAGAAGCGACAATGATTGTACCTGAATGTAAAAGGTAGAGCAATAAGAATACTTTATCAAAAAGAAACTAATCTACAGAGAATGTATCTTTTCAAGTGGAATTAAACGATACATAGCAATATCACAGAGAAACTAATCTAAAGATCTAGTTAGCAACCAAAAGAAAACTAAACATCTTTTTATTTCTCGAGAACTCTAACCAAGCAATGAAACCAAAAAGGCATCGAAATGTAAACACACAATAACATTCAATTACAGGGGACTTCGCAGAAGATAGAGACAATGAGAGAGAAGTACCTGAATGTAAAAGGAGTTACTTTGATCTAGTCCCAACACCCGCCATCACATCCTCAGCCGTTGCTCTAGTTGATGTCACAATTCCATCATTCACCTTGAAAAGAAAAAACATCAAGAAACTTTTAAAATTAGGACTAGATACGATTCCAGAGACAAGACATATACTTTCCTTTTCCGACCGGTGTTGAGAGGGATGCCAAACATACAACAAGCCACCGGCTTTCTCAGTCCGTCGACGCATGGAATCGGAAGAGGTGTGAACCTGAAGAGATGTGAATCAGAAGACGTAGATACTCAAACGGAGAAAGAGACACCTTCCCGAGAATAGATCGGACCAAATCCGATCGACGATTCGATTGTCGAATTTTGTCGCCGCCGGGTGGAGAGTCGAGAGAGAGAGGAAGAGAGAGAGAGATTTTTTAAATTTCTTTTATTTTCTTAAATGTCATTTAACATAAGCTTGACGCGTGTCAGGTTCTAAAATTAGCTAACAAAGCTTATAGTAGACTCGGTTTTAGTTTATTTGTAGATTATATATTTATTTAAATCATCTATTTTCTTTAAAACCGTGTTTAAAACCCTGGATGGACATGCCCTAAGAATCGAAGGAGTCGGCGTAAATTACTCATTGGTGATTTTTTATTTTTTTTTAATTTTATTTAAAGGATCATTGGCCTGGGGAAAGTACATCGATACGACAAGCTCTACCCATTACAGTAATGCATATACGACATTTGATATTTAATAAAGTTAAAAAAAAAAAATATGGACTGCACCCAACAACAATTGAACCGAATACTATAAAAATTAACAAATCTAGTAAAAAAAATGAAGTCACAGAATCGACAATAATGTTTGACAAAGAAAAAAAATCCAATAATGTTACAATGAATTAAAGCAAACACTATAGTATAAAGTATAGACCAATACCATCTTTAAAAAGAGCCCCTCTTTAATACGTCATAAATATGCTCTTATTAACTCTTGTCACAAATGCAAGAAGACCACTGATTAATGCCCTTGATTAGAAGTAAGCCAGAATCGTTTCATTACGTTTGTTTAACGTATGCCAACTACACTAACTACGGTGCTTTTCATAGATACACATATGAAGAAACGAAATATAAATAAATCTTAGAAATAAGCCTTACTGATTAGAATGCAGGGGAATGTGTCATCTCCTAATTAACGACGAATTGCAACTGAGTTTTGACAAATGAGACAGGATGATAAGACAGTCCTGTGATTTTAACAAAAATAAAGAGTAACGTTACTGTACTTTCAATTGATTTTTTTTTTTCACAATTTTGTAAAAGTTTATGATGTAGTTTTGGATTAAGAAAATGTCACTTGATTGCTAGCTTACTTGTTCAATTACCTGTAGGGCGGTTTAAACCTTAAACAAGCTATAAATATATGTCTTCCCTTGTTTATTTCCTTACACTTTCAACTTCTAATCAATTAAAGAAAAAAATGCAAAGTCATATTTTGCATCTTGCTTCTCAACGTGTGTGGTGGTTTCTAATATCAAGAACATGAACTAGAGAGCGAATACGGGTTGCGACTTGCGACTTGCGAATGCTATACAATCGGTGGATGAACCACCATGATGTGCATGCGAGCAAGGAATAAGAGATTCGATATATTTGAAGAAAATGTGATGCACATTCTAACCACCAACAAGATTACAAAATCCTACAAATTTAAGCTCAACATGTTTGCTAATTTGACGGTCTTTGAGTTCTTTGTGTTTTATAACTTAAAATCCAATGAGTCATTTGTAATGTATTAGTATTAAGTAACAGAAAAATAATTTAAAAATCTAAAACATCATATATTGTGGAACAAGAAAAAAAAACTAAAACATCACACATTGTAGAGAGAAAGAGTAAAATTTAATGGAGTCTTAAAGTTATTGTGTAGTAAATATTACAAATATCTTAAACTCAATGGATTTTCAGTAATATATGAGCAAACTTTAAGTGAAACTTGAGAAAAATTTAAGCAAAATGTACCGATCGGTAATGATTGTTCGTTTTCTGTTGTTTCATTAATCCCCTGCATAAACTTTCCTTATTTTTGGCAGTCATTTTCCTTTTTTGTAAGGCAATAGTTACAGAAAAGTTGTAATAATACAATTTATTTATTTATTATCATAAACACAATCGTAATGAAACAGTTGTGGCTTACTTCTCATCAAGAACATCAATCAGAATATCTTCTACCTCATAAGCCAGAAGTCAGAAGTCATATTCACATAACAATCTTTAAGTGGATTTCATCTTCAAATCCACATGAAATCCTTTCAGAAAGCATACCGATCAGCTTTAAATCTTTAGGGCTATCAATTTTTTTATGTTAAAAAAAAACATGATAAACTAAATACTAAATATTATTGTTATCGCAGGCGGTTAATTATGGTGGTTTTATTTTTTTTCATGTTCAGAGTTTGATGCTCTGTTTTGTTTTTGGTTTTAAGATCCTCTCTTTTTGTTTCCTTGTTACTCGGTTTCAAACTCAATAATACACAGACGATATATAAAAAAAAATTATTGTTATCAATAATGTTTATTTTCCTGTAATATTCCATAAATAAATTATTTGTTCAAGATTGTATTTTTTATTACTCGATGAAGATCATTTTTCTTATTAAATATTTCACTTTAAATATGGAAAATTTTCTTTATTTTTAAGACTTTAAAAGTTAAATTTTTATTTAAAAATATGACTGTAGAAAAACTGTGGCTTTAAAATACAAAATTTCGACTTTATAAATTAAAATATTAAAAGCCATGTTTTCTGACTATTATAAAAAGTTAAAAACTCAACGATTCTGAAGGAAAAACTAAAAAAAAATAGCTTTGAGGATTTTAAATTAAAAAGACTTTAAATTTTTCATAAAGCCCTTAAAACTTTAAAACCAAATTGCCAATCAGTACCTAAAATCAAATAAAGTAATTAGAAAAAAAAATTCCAAAAATTGTGGACTCACGTCAACATGCATGCTCTTTTAATACTGTAGGATAATTACAAATCTGTACTAATTTTATTAATTATTAAGTTAACTTAATTTGTTGTTTAGTGGGTTTGACTCAAACATTTATTTTGCTTTAACTTGAAACCGTTCAAAGAGATAAAACACAACAAGAGAAGAAGATGGAAGTTACGGAACCAATCGAAACCATGTCAGACATAACGCAGATCCCTGTCGCAGAAACTATCACCTGCTTTACCGATGGAGCTTGTCAAGCAGCTACTGGAGTCGCTTGTGCAGGCTGGATGTTCATTGATAGCAGTGGCAAAGAGCTCGGAGGTGGATACGGTGCAGAACGAGATGTTCTTTCTCCAATCACGACAGAGGCTTTGGCAATCAAATCGGCTCTTCATCACGCCCTTCATCTCGATTACACCAACCTTCAAATCAAATCAGACGCTCATGATCTCATCCTAGCAATAACAAGGCAAGAGCAAATCAAGGAGATCGATGGTCTCCTCAAGGACATCAACAATCTAGCATCTATGTTCACATCTATCTCCTTCAGTTTCATCCCTAGATCCGAAAACAAGGTACCTGAAATGTTCACTTTCCCTCGGCTTTTGTTTCTCTCTTTTTTCTTAACCCTTATTTTATTTTTCATGAAAGCTTGTTAAAAGGAAGAAGATGGAAGACATCTGTGAAGGTGGTTATGGTCCCATCGAAGACATTAAGGACCATGGCGTTGATGTCATCGCCAAGTTCGCCGTCTCCGAGTTCAACAAACAGAACAACTCGAAACTCAAGTTTCATACTGTTGTTTCCGGCGAATTACAGGTGGTGTCAGGCGTTAATTTCCGGCTAGTGCTCAATGTTAGTGACGAAGAAGACGGTGGTTGCAAGACCTACGAGGCGGAGGTGTACGAGCAGCTGTACGGTGATTCCATGGTTCTTATGTACTTTAAACCTGTTAATTAATCAATGCTCGCTCTTTCTCTCTATCTCTGGCTTTTGTGCGTTTCTTAGCTTTTGTTGAGTTTCTAATGGCTCTCTTGTGAGACATTTCCTGGAAATAATAAAATCTTGAGACTTTTCTCTCTCTGTCAAACTAAAATCAAATAAAAAAATTGAAAAAACTTCCAAAAATTGGGGTCAACATGTATGCTCTTTTAATACTGTAGGATAAGTACAAATCTGTACTAATTTTCTCAATTATTAATTTAACTTATTTGTTGTTTAGTGGGTTTGAGTCAAATATTTATTTTGTTGAAACTTGAAACCGTTCAAAAACATAAAACAACAACAAGAGAAGAAAGATGGAAGTTTCGGAACCAATCGAAACAAGGTCAGAGATTAACCAGATCCCTGACGCAGAAACTATCACCTGCTTTATAGATGGAGCTTATCAAGCAGATTCTGGCGTTGCTGGTAGTGCAGCCTGGATTTTCATTGATAACAATGGCATAGAGCTCGGAGGTGGATACGGTGCAGAACGAGATGTTCTTTCTCCAATCACGTCAGATGCTTTGGCAATCAAATCGGCTCTTCATCACGCCCTTCATCTCGGTTACACCAACTTTCAAATCAAATCAGACGCTCACGATCTCATCTTAGCAATAACAAGGCAAGAGCAAATCAACGAGATCGATGGTCTCCTCAACGACATCAACAATCTAGCATCTATGTTCACCTCTCTCTCCTTCAGTTTCATCCCTAGATCCGAAAACATGGTAGGTCTAAATCTTCACTTTCCCTCTGCTTTTGTTTCTTCTTTTTTCTTAACCCTATTTTTTTTTTTTTTAATGAAAGGCTGCTAAAAAGAAGAAGATGGAAGACATCATTGAAGGTGGTTGGGGTCCCATCAAAGACATTAAGGACCCTAGCGTTGATGTCATCGCCAAGTTCGCCGTTGCCGAGTTCAACAAACAGAACAACTCGAAACTCAAGTTTCATACGGTTGTTTCCGGCGACTTACAGATAGTCTCAAGGCGTTAATTTCCGGCTAGTGCTCGATGTTAGTGATGAAGAAGACGGTGGTTGCAAGACCTACGAGGCGCAGGTACACGAGCAGGCCTGGCTCGATTCCATGGTTCTTAAATACTTTAAACCTGTCAGTTAATCAATGCTCGCTCTTTCTCTGTATCTCTTGGCTTTTGTGTGTTTCTTAGCTTTTGTTGAGTTTCGAATGATTTCTTGTGAGACCTTTCCTGGAAATAATAAAATCTTGAGACTTCTCTCTCTCTCTCTCTCTCTCTTTGCAAATTGATATCGACTTGTATTATTGTGATTTTGGTGCATGAGAATGTGTCATCTTCTTAATCATGAATTGAAACTGATCAGTCTTGATAAATAAGAGAGGATCATACGTAACATAATTGAAAAGCTTTGCTAGTGTAGTTTCTTGAGGATCACGAATACGGTTTCCACACTCAAACCACAAAGAATGTTGATGAACTTGATTGAAGAAGTATGTAAACAAAAACTCAGAAGAGAACAAGATAAGACTTAAATAAACCAAGCAATATAAAACTCAACTGAAATCAACAGCAGCGAACACTAAAAAAATCTCAACACAGATTCAGCTCTCTGCTATGCTGCCAAGTCTCATCCTTCATATTCCACTTTACATACCTTCGAAGATTAGTCATTTGGCATTCGATTATCTTACAAGATTAAAAAAACTGGCGTTGTCTCTGTTTTCCCCTTCACACTTGGACGTTTTCATGCCTTAATCCAAAATAATATCTTGCTCCTTAAGAAGACTAATATGAAATGTCAAAGCAGTCGCGAATATACCTTTTCAATAAAGACGATAAGAGAAAACACAAGTCTCTTAATTCAAATCTCTATCGATTCCTTTATTAACAAATGCATATTGTGGCTAGTGAAGCAACCTCGTTAAAACTTTACTAATGACATTAAAAGTTGGTGACAAAAATTCTCTATCATATTTTTGATATTTCTCTGTTATTGAAACTTTACTTTTTGTTTTGTTTTTTTGTTTTTCTAATGAAACAAAAATATTCCCCTTGACTCTCGTTTAAACATCACTTTCATTTTAGTCTAAGTCTAATAAGAAAACTGGTATGAAAAGAACACGGCCCATTTTAGTCTAAGTCTAATAAAAATGGTATGCAGACAATTTTTTTCGTATAACTCATACTATGAAAAATGTTAAATTAGTTAAATATGTTAGAAAAAGGACTGTTTTGGTCCAACCAAGAACCAACCTTAGGTTTGAACATGGCTGCGCACTAAATGAAAGATCAAACGATTTATGTCTATCTAGATACTTTATTCGAAAACCAAATTTTTTACTTGTATTTCGAAATCAGTTCTAGATATGTTTCTTCTAAAATTGCCGCCATAATTGACATTATAACCAGATTTTTGGCGTTGTCTCTAAGCTTTATTAGCGTCTTTAACATCGTTCTAACAATCATTCTGTTTCAATTTGGTCAGTTTGACGCAAGAGTAAGTCTTAACGTTCTGAGTTTCGGGGCAAAACCAAACAGCGTCGTAGACTCTACACAAAAGCATTTTCGGATGCATGGGACACCGCGTGTGTGTGGAGTGGCAGACTCAGTGGTGATTTACGTGCCGAAAGAAAGGTCTTTGATTAGTCGGGATGTTCGGTTCGAAGGAGAGAGTTGTAGAAGCCGCGAGATAACCCTAAGGATTGATGGGACTTTGATTGGTCCTCAAGATTATAGGTTGTTTGGGAAAGAAGAAAACTGGTTTAGTTTTGTCGTTGTTCATACTGTTACGGTCCAAGGACGCTCTCTCAGTGAGTGAGCTCTTTTTGGAGGAACCTAAGTTCTCTGGTCTCATGCTTTGTGAGCCCTTCGAGCTCTGACTCATCAAAGTCTTCCACCCCTTGCTTCCCAAGCTTGACCGTGGATGTAAAGAAGCGGACACCCTTGACCAGAGGTGACTCAACAAAAAGGCATTTGTAGACATCTTCAGCTCTATCAAGTGCTGCGAGAAAAGACAACATGAAACCAAGTACTTCTGTGAAGTGAAAAAAATCTACATCTTCATTTCAGACATCAGACCAATCAGCTTCCTTGGATCGTAAACACCCATTTGCTTCAGCACATCTGCCACAAAGAGCACCATGGAGTTAATTTCATGAATTTGGTTTCAATTTCACATGGATTCTACACACGTGATGGGTATGGGTAAAGAAAAGATGAACTGCATAGCTGCAACATCCTGCATTGGTTTTTCTTTATGAACATGCATAATATTAGTGGATCTTATTCTGATCATGTCATTCATGTGTATCTTGAACCTTCAATTCTTTTTACTGTTTTACGTTTTTCAGTTTTCATACACATCATTAAAAATAGAACCCGAAACAATATACACATCATATCATTAGGAAGAATTTTTGGGTTTGACCCGGTATTAAAAGTTAAAACCCGCGTGACCCGACCCGGATTCATCATATACTCCAACAAACACAGAGGAGAATTTTCAAATCGCATCACAATCCCTCGTGATTGCTCCTCGTAAACTCAAAGCTCAAAGCTATGGCGGTTTCTAGTGCCTTTGTTGTTAGCCCTAACCTGGAGACGTCGTCGCTGCTGAATCACCATAATCCGTCTTCTTCTCCGACGACGTTGGGTCTGATTGGGATTCGTGCTCATCCGATGAACAACAGGACAATGCGAGGTCTGATCCAGAGAGCGCGTTGCGAGCCTTCTCCGTCTGACGCAGCCAACGTCTCCCCTCTGAAGCAGCTTAAGAATTCTGCTATCGACAGTAGGAATCTGTGCCTTCTTCTTTTCCTGGGGTTTCTTAAATGTTGGAATTCAAGTTTTGGGATTTATTTTTTAGCAAATGCTCTTGCTGCTATTTTGATGATCAGGATACACGAGGGAGAGAAGCAGCATTGTGGTGATTGGGCTTAGCATTCACACAGCTCCTGTAGAGATGCGTGAGAGGCTTGCCGTTCCAGAAGCTGAATGGCCAGATGCTGTCGCTGAGCTGTGCGGTTTGAATCACATTGAAGAAGCTGCTGTGCTCAGCACCTGCAACAGAATGGAGATTTACGTTTTGGCTCTCTCTCAGCACCGTGGAGTCAAAGAAGTCACTGAATGGATGTCTAAGGTTATGTCAGAAATCTCTAGACTAAACTACTTTTAGTGTTTGGATGCTGAATATTGATGTTTCTTTGCCAGAGAAGTGGAATCTCAGTTTCAGACATCCGTCAGCATTGGTTTCTCCTGTACAACGAGGACGCCACGCAGCATCTGTTTCAAGTCTCAGCTGGTTTGGACTCTCTTGTCCTTGGAGAAGGTCAGATACTCAATCAGGTTAAAAAAGTTGATAGACTAGTTAAAGAAAAAAAAAACGGCAACGGGCGAGTTATCAGTGATCTATTTGAAAAGGCAATCTCGGCTGGAGGGCGTGTCAGAAATGAGACAAACATCGGCTCTGGTGCTGTCTCCCTTAGCTCTGCCGCCGTCGAGCTTGCTCTCAAGAAGCTTCCAGGTCCTGCTCCATTATCATCCGCTACGGTGTTGGTAATTGGTGCAGGAAACATGGGGAAGCTTGTTATCAAGCACCTGGTTTCCAAAGGCTGCACTAGAATGGTTGTTGTGAACCGAAGCCAAGAGAGAGTTGCAGCTATCCGCGAGGAGATGAAATCTCGTAGCGTCGAGATTATCTATAAATCGCTTGACGAGATGCTAGCTTGTGCTGCAGAAGCCAGCGTGATCTTCACCAGCACATCATCTGCGACACCACTCTTCTTCAAGGAGCACGTAGAGGTTCTCCCTCCTTTAAGAAGGCTCTTTGTTGACATCTCTGTTCCTAGAAACGTTGGCTCTTGTGTCTATGGATTGGACGGTGCACGTGTTTACAACGTGGATGATCTCGAGGAAGTTGTTGCTGCCAATAAGGAAGATAGGGCGAGGAAAGCAAAGGAAGCTCAGGGTATAATAGCTGACGAATCAAAGAGTTTTGAAGCGCGGTGGGATTCGATGCAGTCGTTTCCAACAATCAAGAAACTGAGAAGCAAAATAGAGAGAATCAGAGCTGCTTCGGTTGAGAAGTTCATGTCCAAACATGGCAGTGACATGGACGAGAAGAAGAAGGACGCAGTAGAGTATCTAAGCCGAGATATAATGAACAGGATCCTGCACGGTCCAATGGTACATTTGAGATACGATGAGAAGACTGGTAGCCGAACGCTGGGTGAGGTGATAGAGAACAACCAGGCTCTGACCAGGATGTTTGAACTCGAGGCCGAGCTACTCGAGGACAAGATTAGAGCAAAGTTTGATAAAAAGTAGAGACACACACATTTGTTGCATCCATTTCTTTTTTTGCAGACATTTGTTGTTGATCTTTTATGTGTTGGTGTCAAAATTATTAATCATTATTGGCCAAAAAGAACTTAAACGTGATTAGAGTTTCACATTGTAGAGCTCAATAAACTTTGCCTTCTAGTAGGTCAATCACTGTCTCCCAACTTTTTAGATGTTCTTAAACCATTGAACATTTATATTTTCTTAAATCATTGAACATCGCTCAAACTCCCACTCAATTGCTATTAGATCTCTTGAGAATTTGAGTACGTAAAATTCATTTGTAATGATTCATTGTCTCATGCTTCACAAGGTAGCTTTCAACAAGTCAATAAAGACAAGCAAATAAAGGATGGCATTCTGAGAATTTCCTCAAACCGATATGATCAAGAGATACAAGGACACTTTATAGTTCTTAAATTATTCAAATCATGTAATGCACCCTTACAAGTTATAAATCCTAGCAAGGTAACTTTTGCCCGACAATCTCTTTCTTAAGTGTCATCTCTCATTAACGTTTAAACGAACATTTTCGCAAGTAGTTGAAGATAGATCATTTCTGCCATGGATTATCACCGTAGTAATAAGCAGTCCCGACCATCAAAGCGACAGTAGCACCCTGGACAACCACTCTAGCTCTCATCAAAACCTGACCCATCTTAGAATTGCCTCTTCTGAAACTAATCAGCCCTGCCGTGAGCACTCCCGCAGTCGCTAGTGCGCCTGCAATGTGGTTATTATCCGCAAGGAACCATCAGTTTTGGCCAAGAAAACAGTGAAGCATATCCAGAGAACATATAAAAAAGAATTCCAAAACTGTATGAAGAACACAGTAACAAAGACTGATATTGACACATTGAAACAATCAGTGTTTATATACATACACAGGCATGGATTTGCTAGCTGAGGTCCAAATTACAAGTTTTCATACAGTTTGCCAATGGAACAACCAATACTGTAAATTCAAATCAGTTTGCAGATCCAAAACAGTTTGCCCAAGGGAACAACCTCAGTAGATAGGAATCAGCACGAGAACGAGAACGGAAAAGAGTAAATTCTAGAAACTGATACCATAGATGAATTAGTTTCTTCCTAACATTCGATCCATGAAAGTCGAGATTCTGTAGCGCATAGATACCGACACAGAGTTGTAACAAAGCAAGCAATTGTGGAACAAATTCGACTCCGTTTGATAACCTATCGGATTTGGGAATCGATCCCCAGAATTTAAAACTCCCATGATTCTGATTACGAATCAAAGAGAAGAACGAATTGTGTTCAGGTAAAATCTAGCAACCTAATGAAGAGGTACAATTGAAGCCTATCAAAACAAAACGAGATCAAAAGAAAGAGCAAATGAAGGAGAGGAAAGGGCAAAAGATAATGCGAAAATGGAAGACAAACCGAGGGGAACGAAAGGATTCCTGACCCGCTTCTTCTCCTGGAAGAGATCCTCCATGTCTGGCTCCACCGCACTCATCGTCTTTCTCGGTTACGGAGAGGATCAAATGAGAAAACGAAGATGGAGAAGCCAAAAGTGTAAAAGGCACAGTCACGCGTGGCCTGTTCCTTCACCAGAGACGACGACGAGGAGTTTCTGTGGAACGGGCCGGGTTGGCGGATCTAATGGATCGGATCGGGTCGGGTCATATTTCAGAGAGTTAAAGGTAAAAAGTTAAAAAGTTAAAATTGCTAAGCGTTCGTTCACTTTTCGGTAGTTAAATTTTATAACCATACACATTTAGTTATTCGGTTTTTCTTTCTCCAATATCTCAAATTTGTCTATTTGAACAATTCTGTAAAAACTAATATGAGAACATATTATTCTATACATGTTACTATTAACAATTTTAGTAATAAATAAAAGGTGACATGGTATATATACACATTATGGAATCGAAAACCACATTAAAATTGGATTGAATACCAGACCTTGTCTTTTGAATAATTAGGACCTATGTCAATTGAAATTGCAATCTATGTCAAGAAGCAAATGAATTTTCGTGACAGTCTTTGCATGTTTACGACACATTTTTTTTTCTTTTTTAAATAAATCTTTGAAAACCAAACGGAAGCTAAAAGCCTAAAATTCACCATTTAAGTTTGACTGCCACAACTTGACCATCTCATCGCTTCGGCTGCTGGCTATAGACCTATAGTCTTGCCACTCCATCCCCTTCCATCTATCAAACCTGACGAAGACTACAAAATGCCCATCCAAGCACTACAATTTAGTCATTTGGAATCAAAAATTAAATTTAGAAATTAGAATCAAAAATCAAATTCGACCCTATAGTTTATTTATAAGCATTCCAACTATAACAAAATATAAATACATAAAATTACTGTATATGTTGGATATGTAGGAGATTTTATATATGTGAATTACTATATAGTATTGTATTAATTTCCATAACATAATATTAATTCATGCAACTACTAGATATGATTTATATAATCATTACTATGTAAGAAATCATTTATATATATCAAGTTATTATACTATATAACATAAGAATCATTATACGTAGGAAAGATTTTATTTATACGAAATTACTATACTGTGTAGGAAGGATTACTATACAGATTTTATCCCAAAAAAGATTGATTTGTATTTATCTCCATAATATTTTGACAGAAAGAACAAAATATTTCCATAATGTAAGGTACAACATACATGTGCATGTATATCATTCACCTATAAAATACAGAGACAGATTTTTAACAAAGCAATAAACAAAAGTCTTGCTTTGTGTAGGAATCATACATAATTGTTCTAACTTCTGAGGTATTTTCATACAAGTAAGTACCAATCTGTATGTTTTTCAAAAATTAGAGGAATAATTTATTACTTAAACTTATTTGGTTTCGTGGGTTTGCGTCAAAGATTTATGTTGTTGAAACCGTTCAATGTTTTTGGATCTCTAAATATAAACAGATAAAAGACAACAAGAGAAGAAGATGAAAGAGATTCTTTTTGGTGCTTGGGGTCCCATCGAAGACATTAAGGACCCTAGCGTTGATGTCATCGCCAAGTTTGCCGTCTCCGAGTTCAACAAACAGAACAACTCGAAACTCAAGTTTCAGACTATTGTTTCCGGCGAATTACAGGTAGTCTCAGGCTTTAATTTCCGGCTAGTGCTCAATGTTAGTGACGAAGAAGACCGTGGTTGCAAGACCTATGAGGCGCAGGTAAATGAGCAGGCCTGGCTCGATTCGATGGTTCTTAATTACTTTAAACCTGTCAATTAATCAAGGCTCGCTCGCTCTTGTTCACTTTTATGCATGCACTTTTCAACTCAATCAATGCCTTTCTCTCTATCTCTGGTTTTTGTGCGTTTCTTAGTTTTCGTAGAATGAAAGAATTTCATAGTGATTCAAATCATATGTTTTTTATTTAAATTAAAAAAAAACATATGCAAACAATTAATCATAGTGATTAAATTCATCTCTTCCCTCGGTTACATGACTTTAAACCATCCCAATCCCCCTCAAGAGTGGTTGTCTATTAGATTGGTATGTTTAGACCAACAAATGTAACATTTGTTATACATATATTCCCCTTGATTCTCGTTTAAACATCATTTTCATACGAAAAACAAAACAAAACAAAAGCAAAGTTTCAATAACAAAGAAATATCAAATATTATAGGGGACACCAACTTTTATTTGTTATAGATCGTTAATTTATAAGTGTCACAAGCAAGTTTATGCATGATCAGTCTCTTTGCATATAGATAGGAAGTTCATGGGTACACTTAGAGTTATTTCAACCGTTAGGTGGATTTTGAAAACGAACCATACTTCCTAACATTGCACACAACTAACTCTCATTATGAGTTTGTAATAAGCATTTTAGTGTTCTTTTAACCCGATCCGATTATTTGGCCGGAAAGCAAATTACGTTGACTAATTTATCACCAAAACGACCAGGAATTCTCTTCATCAGAAAACCATGCAACCTGAAGCTGAATCAGTTTGCCAATCCAACGGATACGGAGTTCTTCCATGCCCACACTTGTACCAAAATGAAGGATGAGAGTGTGAAAAGGCGGCTCCAATGATCCATTCATTCACGAGAACGTGGGCCAAACCCCTCCTTCTTTGGATTGGAGACAAAAAAAGGTGCTGTCACACTTTCCTTGAGCTTTGACAGCGGTGACAGCATTTTTTTTGTCTCTAATCCAGGAAGGAGGGACCTACGTTCTCGTGAATGAACGGATCATTGGAGCCGCCTTTCACATTCCCATCCTTCATTTTGGTACAAGTGTGGGCATGGAAGAACTCCACGGCCGTTAGATTCTTCGTAAACTGATTCAGCTTCAGTTTGTATTGTTTTCTCATATTTTTGGTGTTGAAAATGTGCTTCGAATTCTCTCGGAATACTTTAAATCTGTTTCGTCGAGCCACCACTTCGCAAATCTGTTGTTTCGCTTCTTTTAATTTCTTCCAAACTGTTTGTGGTTTTCATTACAAGGAGAATGAGTTAGAAACCGAAGGGAGCTTATTAAAGCTATACAAGGGTACGAAGTGGTGGCTCCTCCGCCTTGTATAGCTTTAATAAGCTTCCTTCGGTTTCTAAGTCATTCTCCTCGTAATGAAAACCACAAACCGTTTGAAGAAAAGAAGCGAAACAAGAGACATCGTAATCTTTCTTTGGTGATTGATTTTATCGGGAGTTGAAACTTGAAACTCTAAGAAAATGGAGGTGGCGATTCTATAGGTAAGCGAAAGAGAAATATAAATTTTGTAAGTTGATCACGTACGGGTCAATGATATTATTAGGTTCATCACACACAATATATGAGAAAATATTATAATATTATTAATATATTAATTAAGTTGATCACAGAAGAAAATAGTGTGTGATCACTGGATCAGTTCTGTTTTTGTGTGGTCAGGTGTGTGTGATCAATTTAATAATTAATTGCAAATGTGGGATGAATATTAAAGTTGAATATTGATATTTAACATTAGAGTCTTAGACTGTTCGAACATCATGATATTGCTTTTCTATGATTCCATCTAAAATGATAAAGCAAATCACAACCTAACGTAACCAAGAAACTAAGGCTCGTCATGCACGGAAAAAAATTTACAAAAATTTACAAAGGACAAAAGCAAATTACAAACTAATGTTCACTTTTCTTCATCCTGTTTTTTTTTTTGGCAAAAACTGAGAATATACATAGATTTGACAATGACGTACCTCAATCTAATCGAAGACCAAAAAGGCATGGGAATATCTAACTAGCAATAAATCTACAAATTCAAAACCATCCCAATCGCCCCGAAGACTAGTTGTCTATTTGATTGATATGTTTAGACTTTAGACCAACAAATGTAACATATTTTTTACATATATTCCGCCTTGACTCTCGTTTAAATATCACTTTCATTAGAAAAAGAAAACAAAACAAAAAGTGAAGTTTCAATAACAGAAAAATATCAAATATTATAGGAGACACCAACTTTTCATTGCTCTATATCGTTACTTTATAAGTGTCACGATCAAGAGTATGCATGTCTCTCTGTATATAATTAGGAAGCTCATGGGTACATTTCTAGTTATTCCAACCATTAGGTGGATTTTGAAAACGAACTATACTTTCAAACATTGCACATTACTCATTTCTCAATATGAGTTGTAAGCATGTAATGCGTATCTATAAGCATGTGTAGTGTTCTTTTAACCCGATCCGGATATTTGGCCTTGACTAGTTAGGTAAGTGATATTGTTTGGATTAGTTTCTTCCCGTGTTAGTTTCTTACCGGAGTAATATTATTCTTTATTTGTGACTTATTGAATGTTCTGGCTCAATAAGTGTCAAAAAGCTTATTTCGTATTGGACAATTTTGGCATGAAAAACATTCTACATGTTTCAACAGCAGTTTTACTTTACGTTTACAATTTTGTCTTCATGCCTTTGTAATTTTTACACTGCCGTGAAGAATTAAACCTAAATCCTTGTGTTGTGTGTGTATGTGTTTTTTTTTTTGTCAATTAGCCATCTCTCTTAATGCACTTGACATATCTTCATGTAATCAATATTTTAATTAATTGATTATCCAGCTCTAGAATGTGGTAACCATAGACCTGACTCACGATTACAAGTTAAATATATTAGTTTAAGAGAATTGAGTTTTTACCATTACAATTCATCACATTTATGTTGTGTGTCGACTATTAATGTATACATGCTACAATAGACTCTTCTAGCTTAATTTGTTAATTTAAAGTTTTTTTGTTGTTGTTGAAATCATTAACATTTATTCTTGCTCACTTCACTCTACAGGTTGCTAAATTCGTAGAAATTGGGCTAACTGGTGTACCTTATTCAAATACACTCATCTGCAATTTCCTAGCTCATAAAAACCAAAACATGCTAATCCACAATTATGACTTTTCTTTTTTTGCATTCATTTTCACCTGATTGATCTAGAAGCTCTGCTTTTCCAAAAACTCTAATAATTCAAGATCCACAGGTTTTTGTTTTTTCCTTGGGAGAAAATGATATGTGAATCATATGAACTTTCCTCACGTGTAGTCCCCCGTACGCTACCGTTTTAAAGAACAGAATACACTCACACGTGTGGATTTAACAGGCGTTTACGAAATAGCCCCTACTCTCGAGCGTATACGAAAGTCAAAACCAGGGGTAGTTTAGTAACGAAGAAAGCTCTGAGCGGAGACGAGGAGTTTCCGTTATCCCTTTATATCATCTCTCTCTCTTTCTCTCACAGACACAACAAACAAAGAAAAAATAAAAATCGCACGTTTCTCCTCTTCTCTTCCTCTCGCGACAAATCTGATTAGGGTTTTTGAGAATCTTCATTGCGATTTCGAAATTCTTTATACCTTTTCGTTGATTTTGCGCTTTCGGAATCATCTGCGAAGCCATGATTTCTGATTCGATCACCAACGCTTCTGCAACTGCAGCCCCAAGCGCGAGGGATTTCGGAAAAAAGAAAAGGGTATGTTTTGATTCTGATTTCTTCCTAATTCAATCTTCCTCGAATCTCATTTCTATCTCCAAATTCGATTCTTTTGGTATCACTCATTGATATGTACTGTGGGTTTTTTTGGGGGTTTTCTAATTGCATTTGGGTCTCAGACGAACAGGACGGCCAAATTGAAACAGAGCAAGCTTGGTCTCCGCCGTGAGCAATGGCTCTCTCAAGGTATGATCATCACAAAAGATCTATCTTTTCTTTAATTAAGCTTAGGTTCTTGATTGATTTGGGTTTCACTATCAGTTGCTATGGTTAACAAAGGAGGTAAGGAGGAAATGGATGCCAATCGAAAACCCGGAAGTGAAAAATCTGATCAGAGAGATCGTCCGGTTGTGAATTTAGACGGCCACCAGCGTGGAGAAGAAGATGATAACAACAGTGGAGCTAATCGTCATGAGAGCTTTATGGAGTCGCTTTCGAATAGCCCTAACAGCATCCTGAGTGGCATGAATTCGATCCCCAATTTTAGCAGCAGCAGTAGCAGTGGAAGTGGTGGCTCTTGCTCTGGTAACATAACAGAGGAGGAGGATGCTGATGATGATGGTTGTTTGGATGATTGGGAGGCTATTGCTGATGCTTTAGCAGCTGATGACGAAAAGCATGAGAAAGAGAATCCTCCTGAGTTCTCCGAGGAGCATGAGCATGAGAATATCCAGCAATCAGCTTGTGAATCTGATGTGGCTGTGTCAAGGAAGCAAAAGAGCAACCAGGCATGGAGGCCAGATGATGAGCTGCGTCCTCAGGGTCTGCCAAATCTGGGAAAGCAGCGTAGTTCTCCGGTTATGAACTTCCATTATAGTTCAGTGGCAGTGCCGTCTTCATGCCCCATTTGCTATGAGGATCTGGACTTGACGGATTCTAATTTCTTGCCATGTCCTTGTGGATTCCGGCTCTGCCTTTTCTGCCACAAGACGATTTGCGACGGAGATGGGCGTTGTCCAGGTTGCAGGAAGCCATATGAGAGGAACACGGTCAAGGTTGAGACTAGTGTGCAAGGTGGTGGTCTGACTATTCGGCTTGCTCGTTCGTCTAGCATGTTTTGCAGGTCATGAATGGAAAAGAGGAAGTGTGCTTTTCTTCGGACTGTGTCTGTTTGTTTTCTTCTCACTTCTTTCTTTCTTTCTTTCTCTGTTTTTTTCCTCGCATGTTCTACGTTTTTTAACCTGTGTTTAAAACTCTTTAGATATGGGTATAGGGATTTGTCTTTTGGCACCTGAGAACTATGTTCTATGTTCTTCTATGTCAATGACTCTTCTTCGTCTGAGAAACATGTGGTGATAATAGTGGTGGTTGTTATGTAGAGTGGTGTGTGTGAGTACATAAGGTGGTACACGGATATCAAATACATAAAAGTTGCAATAAGTCTGTTCCATTTCCTCCTAGAAGAACCTTGCTTGTCTGTAATATCCTAAAGGTATCATTTTATACCTTCTGATGTTTTAAAAAGTGGACCGTGGATATTATATGTTTCTACTTGATTCTCTGTTGAGCGACTGAAACACAGCATATTGAAGATTATGTGTATTTCTATGGTCTGATTTTGTTGTGATTTATCTACTTCCTCCTTTGCTATATGGTATGCATCCGTGAACTGATTACACCGATAGGAATGCAAATCTGGCAAGTCTGTCTTGGTAATGTTAAAGTTTACTCTTCTATTTGTGTCTAGGAAACATATACTTGAGCCAAGCTTTCATTTCGAGCAAACTAGCAACACAAAAGGGCAAAGGGAAAGTTTTAAATCATCCGTTTGCGTTTCAGGCGTTTTCTTCTTTAGTTATTGTAATAAGCTACAACTTGGAGCGTTTGCACAGCAAAATGTTTTTGAGGTTTAGAGGTTAGTAATGTTTGAGCTGACTTTTAATAACCTCAGGATCCTAGATGATGATATATTGGTACTCTCACTGTGTAAGGAAGGTTGTTTGTTGCTGGTTCAAGCTATTTGATATGGCTTTAGGCTTTAGAGTAACTAGGTATTTTACCCGCGCGTGTTTATTTTCAAAAATAAAAACACATTATGAATTTTCTAATTTTCAATTTTTTAAAAAATTCATGGAAACAAATGCTTTATTTTTTTTTCTTTTTAAATATTTTTAAACTTATTTTATAATTATAATTTCTTATTTTTTTGAATCTTTATATTTTAAATATTAATAAATCATTTTCTTGTATAATTAGTCACGGTAATAAAAAGAATTTTATTTATGATAATTTCTGAATAAAAAGATATTACAAATCTTTCTCTTATTTTTTTGTAAAGCATAAAGATCTGATCACCGGAGAAATTACGTTAATCCTTAAAGTTTATTTTCCTACTGTTTTCAGTAGAGTATACATAATTAAATCTCCAATTTTCGGTTCAGAAATCTGGTTGTCATATTTTGGGCCTAGTTATCACTATGAAATTAAAAATTCATTACTTTCATCTTCTAGATGCAAATATGAAGATTCAACAATGCAACTCTTTTGCCACTGTGTTTTCAAAAATCTTAACTTAAATCTCACTTCTAAACCAATTTCGTCAATTTCCTAAATCCCTGCATCCCTATTATCACTCTACCTCTCCTCTTCTTTAATTATATGCACACTACCAAGCATTTTGTTTCAAAATTTTAAAGATTGCATGTCATTGAAGGTGACGATTCATACCAAATCCTCTTAATCCCAAATCTTTTGAATAATTTATAAACATCCACTAATTATAGTTAATTGGCTGCAGGTTTCACCAATCATATTTCTTTGAGGTATTATCTAAACTCAATTTTCCATATACTATTTTGTTTTATTTCGAGTCCTATTTGAATCTGGATCTATCAAATATATTACAACTTCTAATTACATTGGTTTCTTCCATAAATACCTAATATTCAATCCTTGATAATTATTGGTTTGTTGAATTTTTGTTGGCAATAAATAATATTAGTTTCTTTAGATATAGATTAAAATGATAAGCAGAAGATTTTTTTTTCCCATGAACATTAGATATAGTCAATTTCTTGTAGCTTGGTTAGATCTTGTTTTGGCATGTCTTTGAACTCAGCTAGTGAACGTTTATACTGGTCCAGTTTCCAGTTATTCAATAGCTTTCCAAAAACTAAAGATAGTTACAATTTGTATCTTCTACATATCTTCAAAACAAAATATTCTTTCCACTTTAATATATGATTATGGTGCATGTAAATCAACAAATTAATAATATTTTGATTCTTAGATACAAATAAATTTTATTTGGTTTATGTTAATATATATTTACATATAAATTTTACATAGGAAATTATTTTAATATGCTTATGTGGACCAATCAAATTCAATTTTAGAATCCTATGTGGACACCTTTAAAAGCATATAGGGTCAACTTTTATTAGTAATAGATGTTTCTTACTCTTACAATATTTGTAAAATGGAAACAAAATTTGACATTAGAACAGAGAGCTATTACATTACTTGACAATGATTATATCATGTTTCTTATTCTAAGATCAATTTGAAGTGGAAACCAAATTTAAAAAACATTAGAACAGAGAGCTATTACACCTCTTTATTGCCTAAACGTACACAAGCAAGTTCCAATAGCATAAACAATCATGACTTCTCAAAAGGTTCAAGTTGCTCTTGTTTCACTCATAAGCTCTCGCAGCGGAGAATAGCGTTTGTGATCCTCAGGAAACGAGTTCCACCAGTTTCTAAATGTAGAACCCTCCAGAAATATTTGCTCATGGTCTACTTCACCCTCATTGATCCATCCTTGAAGCAACCGTTCTAACTCCTTAACCTTTACCTCAACTTCTCCATAAGGCTTTCCCTGGAGATCTTCGACCTCAGCCCAAAAGCACGATCCGCAACTCGCTCCCTCTATCTCTACCCCTGCCTTCATACGATCGTGCTCGTACCCTCTTTGAGCGTGTTTGTACCGGTTCGGTCTTCCTTTTAGCATGTAAGGCCCCGTGTCTTCTTGCTTCAAATGCCTGTGGTAGTTTGCAATGTCAAGAGGCTCAACTAGTCTGCGGTATCTAGTCGCTAGCACGATCCAATCTCTTTGCCCTTCGAAGTCGTCTGGAAGCTGACCTTTCTTCACCAAACCGAGCACCTCGTCGACTATACCAGCTAGCTCAGCTCTCGTGACGTTTGCTCTGAAGTCATGCTCTTCCAAAGAAAACTTGAAGGAGTCATAGTAGCCGTTTTTATGCGTCCGACACCTTGGCTTGTACTCTTCCTCTAACCATTTCAGCTTCTCCAATATCTTTGGCCGTTTGGCTTCTACCTTGCTCTGATTATCCACTCGTTTCTTCTCTGCGTCCATTGCAGCTCGGACACATTGCCTGGCTCTTGTGCTCTGCAAAAGAAATGAAACGTTACAAATCTTTCTTTGTCAAAACATTCACAGAGAGAGAGAGAGAGAGGTTTTACCAGTCCGAGGTCACTGAGAGCAGCTTCTCCATCCAAAAGCAAGTTATGAAGATCCAAGTGAGTGAACGACCTTAGCCCCATTGACTGTACAAGCTCCTCATAGCTGTGATGATCTCTTATGCTTTGGTATGGGACTAGAGATAACTCATGCTCGTTGCTGGACTGAGAAGCGTAAAACAGAATCTGAAGAATGGCGTCTGAGTTGTTCACCGAGACCAGTCTCGTCCCTGTAGAGAAGACAAAAGTGCCTGCTGGTCTGTAAGGACTCAGCTCAAGGAAACTGGAGAGAGTTTCCAGAAACGCTTCTCCGTTTCCGATCAATTCACAGACGGCTTGGTGAGCAACGGTCGCTGTGTCTTTCATCACTGTTTTGTAAAACTCTGCGATGCTTTGGTCGTTTTCTTGGATCGGAGGTCTTGTGGGATCTAACTGGCGAAGAACATGAGGCAGAGCTTTCTCTGTGGATGCTTTTCGAGCAAGCACAAGCCGAGGGACGATATCGAATCTTGCGACGAAGTTGACGAAGAAGCGGCTCCAGTTCTCTCTCCCAAGCGCGTGTTGGAAGACATAGTCACCGACCAGAGGAGCTCCAAAGGTCACACAGAGAGGCTCCGGGACAGGGAGAGGACTCTGTTTCTTGAAGTATGTCTCCAAATACCAAACTGTTGCTAAGATTGCAGTTGCTCCTCCTGAAGAATGTCCAGTGAAGACTATCCGTTTATGTCTTCGGCCATCGACAACCATTTTCACCTGACAGAAAGTAAGTTTCAGACACAAGTTTACTCAGATGTTTCGATTGTAAGTCTTAGAGAAGTTGAAAGAGCTGTTACTTACGACATCACAAAATGAGGTTCTTGGAGAGGTGAGAAGTTCAAGAGTCTTGAGAAAAGCTTCGTTAACAGTAGCGTCGACGTCGTTGCCGATGCTTCTCATACAAGGAAATTGATCACGATTCATCTTGATTTCTCCAAAGGAAGACTTGCTCGCCGGAGAGAACCATTCTTTCTCCGAGAAAGATGGTCGGAAAGAGAAAGTTACGATTTCCTCTGTTTCTTCTTTGTGATAGGGCTCTGTTCCGTAAGCTCTGGCCGATGCTATCCATGATCGGGCGATTAGATCGTTATTGATTCCGGCAAGAACTTGTGACGCCATTGATCTTTCTTCTGGGTCGTCTGTCTTGCTTATTGGTCGTTCTTCTTCTCTGCGGATTAACTGTATTATAATGACGAAGATGTAGACGGGAGTAATTACCCAAAATACCCATCAGAATGTGAGCAGATTTTCACTGCAAAGATGGGTTTTTTGGGGATAACTGAATAAACTGTTTACTTTATGATTGTTGCAGTTGACTCTTTGGCTATTGGAGACTTTCACGAAGATTAACGAATCTTAGCCGTCCACGTGGACATTTTTTTTGTTGGGTTATGGGCTTATGGCTTTGTACGTCCGACATAACTGGAATTTCGCAGAAACTCTCGTGAAAGACATAAGCATTCACCTTTTGTCCGAAATTTTGGGTCTAATTGGTTGTAGCTGTAGCTTTTAATTTTTTGCTGTAGAATTTATGCTGTATAATTTTTGGCTGTGATTGTAGATTTTAGTGCTGTAAGATTTTTTTATTGTAGATTGTGGCATTATATACTGCATTAAAATAAAAAAATAAGATATAAAAATAATATATTAAAAAATAAATGTTGAAAACATAATAAGGAAAGAGAAAAGAGAAAATTCTAAGAGCACTTAATTTTGTGCTCTAGAAAAATTACTTTCCAAAGCCACGGAATTTCCATAAACAAAAAAAATTGCTCTGCGTTTCAAAAATGGAAAGAGATGAAATGAAAGCTTGATTGGTGATTTTGGATTGTTGTATAGAGATTTAGTGCTCTAGAGAGCAATCACAGCTCCTACCAATCATCCCTTTTATCTTTGTGTTATCTTATGATTCTTTGAAATTTTGTAGCCTAATACGTTTGGAGTCTTTGGTCTTGTCATTTGACATCAGTTGGATTTCGCAGTAACTCATCGTCACATCGATTTTCTCTTTTGGTCGGAAAAAATAATAATTCATCTTTATGCTTTTTGATTTATTTTGTAGCTTGACTTGTGTTTCACATTTCGGGTCTCCGTCTCTCTTTGTTTCTAAAAAAACTTATCCGGAAGTAAACCTGATGTAATGTAATAAATAATTAGTCTTGTTTTTTTTTTTTAAAGATTTTCATATAATTAGTCTTGTTTTGGTTTGTTAAACCGAATTGCATAACCTTTTGGATTTTCGATACAAGTCCTTACTTTTGGATGGAACGAAAGTGGATCGTCTTGGTCTTATTAAAATTTAAAATCCAACTTGGGAAATTTCTATGAAACCCAATGCCATGTGGTCCAACGTTTAAAATAACTAACTTATCTCACCTAGCTGGATTCGTACCACGTTGACAGCTTTATTTAATTAGACAGAAAGATTAGCTTGTCTTTGTGTAATGAATGGTACTAATCTGTTTCTAGGTCATTTATTTAAGTCTTCTTGACGATTATAGTATTTTTATTTGGGTGTCTCTTAGGACTCATCATAAGTCATAAGTAAAGAAGGCTTTTTCCATGTAAATTGAGGTGAAAAACGAAAAAGTTCCTATTAAACTTCCACAAACAACATCATTTTACATATCTCATGTAAAGAAAAAAAAAAGTTATCTCTCCTCTCTAATGATCCCAACTTTCCCCTGTCTACCATTTACATTTCTATTTTATGAAAGAAAAACCCCATCTTTATCTGTCCTCACTGGTTCTATCTGTAAAAAAATGCTGTCATAACTCAAAAATTATAAGCCGAAAGAATCAGGGCAGGCTTTTTAAAATCGTATCGTGGAATATGGAAGATTCAGATCTTTGCACGTTTTAGCTGCGAGTAGATGTCATTAGCTTCTAGCTCTCTCTTGTGCATAATATTTTTGAAAGCTCTTTCGTCAGCTTTCATTAGAGAATCTCTTAATCTCTTCACATCAGCCAATTTCACAGGCTTCAATAAGAAATCTTCAGCACCTTCTTCAAGACATCTGAATAAACAAAGAGAATCAAATATTAGTGATCCGATCCCATAAAGTTCATAGCTATTGGATCCAAAAGATGGCCAACTCATATTTTGGTAATAATAAGCAATTATTAGTAGACTTAATTTTTGGTAAAGATGGTTCCTTAATAATAAGCAAACGCATGTGAGGTGTCTATCACGAAGATGAGATTTATAAATGACCCTACCTAAGATTATGCAAACAATTATACAGTATTATAATTTTTTTGTTGGGGGCCTAACATATCACCGTCAATAGAATCAAATCTCATAAGAAGATCTTGCTTAACTTATGAAGGATTATTCTTTTCTTTTTTTTGGCTACAAGACACAATTTTTTATTATTATATATTCCTAATATCCATTAGAAAATCATATAAGGACCCACGAAAACAACACCAAATCTTAGCTTGATCAAATATGCAACCACCACCACATTTACCCATGATGATTAACTAAAGAAACAATACTTTCATCATGCAAATCTGATTTGGTTATATACAACTTTTTAATTTGGTCAACTACACATCGATTAACGGTATCTTTTTCAAAATCCCTAAATAGTGTGATTACTTAAAAGTTTCCTAAACAACAGTACCCACTAATCACCCGAATTTCCTGAAGTAATAAATGCTCAAAACCTAATTAAATTACTATATATGGTAAATCTTATATATTCTTGCACGATCTTGTCTTAATTAAAGAAAGGATTAAGGATCACAATTAAGATGGAAAATATACCTATCGATACGAGGGATGATGTTCTCTGACGACATAATCACCACTGGTATTTCTCTGAAAGCTGATGATTCCTATGAAATTCAAAACACATAAAGAGATTAGATAAAACTTCATTTTTAATCAAATCTAGTGATTCATCAGAAAAACTCGACAAACTTACTTTGATTTTTTTCAATAGTTCATATCCAGTCATGCCAGGCATAGAGTAATCCGTCATTATCAGATTTATCTTCAGATCCTGAAATAATCAAACCAAAATCTTTAATACCAAATTTGAATAGTATTCTCCAAAAAAAAAAAAAAAAAAAAAAACACAACGATCATCGGATTTATTACCTCAAATCCAACTGAACCATTCTCTCCATCTAGTCCAAGATACTGCAAAGCTCTCGTCGCACTATCGACAAGAGTAACTGAATAAATTCAAATAAAAAAACAATTGTCAGTTTTCGGAAAATCAAACATATTCCACAAAACAAAAACGATGAAACCAAAACACTAGCTTAGTAGCTTACCTCTACAAGACGAAACCCTGAGCAACCGCTCGATGAATTTCCGATCAACTATGCTATCGTCGACGGCAAGAACATGAAGAAGCTCCGGTGATGCCAAGGACGAAGTGTCGTTGGAGATATCCAACTTCTCCGGACGTATAACCTCCGCCATATTATCAAAGAAATCTGGAAACTAAGAGAGAATCTGCTCTGATTTTGGAGTAAAAGTGGGAGAAAGAGGAGATTTGATTTTGCAACGGGATGAATGATTTGAGTGGAGAAAAGGGATTTATAAGGGAGAAGGAAAAAGAGAGGGAAAAAATATGATATCGATAAGAGATTCTGAGAGATCTTTGCATATCTGTGGGATTTTGCCTGTCGATAGCGCGTGGAAATTACTTGTTTATTCTGTTTCCAAAAAAGTCATATTCAAATTTGGCAAAACCAAATAAAAATAAAATCGTATTATTAAAGTTTATTGGGAAAAAAATCAAAGCGATCATGTTATTTTATGTATCTTTTTCAAAAGAATAGTCAAGTAATGGTGAGTGGTGATATCAATATGATATTCGGGGAGAAAAATCATTTTGGAAAATCGTATCATGGCGATCTCTCTCGATTATCGTTCGGATCATGGAACTTTGATTTGCATGTGTGTACATTTCCGATCATTTCGTATTTTCTTTGATTCGCTATTTAAAAGAAATGTACTAAAATAGAACTTGTAATAAATCATTTTCGAACGCGGCGAAGTTGCAAATTTCAAAAGCTTTTTTAGCAAGTATCCCACTATTTTTATTTGATGTGTATGTTTTGTGTTTGCGGTAACTTTATTTTCAATCATAACTTATTAACTTTGTGTTGATTAATAAATGGTTTAAAAATGTTAGTTAGTTAATGGTTTTCCCAATATGAATTCATATTCGGTGTCATTCAATTCAGTCATTAACGCTCGTCGAATATGACTATTTGAAAATCTATTCAAAAACTAGATAAATCTGAAAATGTATTCTGTTCGTGTAGAATTTTTGTCAAGACGATTATGTTTTAAGCCGGTAATCGACTGTTACAAAATAGACAAACTTGCATCACAAAAATGGTAAAAAAATAAATAGTCAGTGTTGCTCGAAAAATTGAGTGGGGAAGATCTTTCGAAGACCTTCTAGTGCTTAAATTAAAAGGAACTCAATAAAGGGGTTAGAAAGTATGACAAATATGCACAAGATAAGATGCATATGCTATTAAATATAATCTGTGTGAAGTGTTTTCTCACTTTAAAGTGTGAGAGACTGATTTATATATTGATCGAACTATTGTATTTATAAGAGTACTTTCTTGCAGGTTCGAAATATGGATATAGTAATTAGTAAACATATATGGTATGAAAGTACACCACATGTAGTCCTTCCACATGAGCCGCATGTGTATTAGGTGCGGTGCAACTAGCTTCTCCACTACATCTACATGTCATCGAGACTCGCACGTTTGGTTAGATAAATTCAATGAGTTTTTTTAACTACCTTCTCCTAAAAAAGTGCGTTTGATGCTTCGATCTCATCACAAGTTGTCATTTGCGTAATGTACCTGATGCATTTGATGTGGCTCTTCGTATAACTCAGTATGTATTCAAAGTCCACATATCACATTACAATAGGTTAGTACACTTGATAACTGAATTTCATCCCAATAGTTTTTCTCACTTTAATGTTCATTTTGACGTAATTAGATAATGAGACTACGAAATACGTTAAGAGTAAAAATTGTGATGTACTTATATAAAAATGTGATATACTCAATCGAAAGCTATCTTCCTATACAGAAAGTCTCGACTCTTGAACTCTTGGGTCCTATCTTGACAAAATCTTCTATCGAATCTGAGACTCATGTGATGACCGTTACGGTTTGTCTAGTTTCATAGTGGGGACACGAACATGCTTGCAGAAAATTCCGACAAAAGTTCGTTTACGTGTTACAGTTGGATTGACGAATGATGACTATTATTACTCACATCAAAACTTGTCATTAGTCTTCAGCTACACCGTCAGTCCGTCACTATAGATATACTATTGACTTTATCATAAGTTTTCCACAAAAATAAAATTTTAGTATTAAGTTAGTTATATTAATTTTACATGTTTTTTTGAAAAAACAACAATTAGATGAAGTTAATCTCCACATAGCATTTTACATTTTTTTTTTTTTTGTGAGTGTGTTTGTGTTACTTATGTGTGTTTGTTTTTCCTTGTAGTCCTCTGACAATAATCCTAGCCATGACTCCCGTTGCTTTGTGTGAGTGTGTGGAAAATCATCGTTTTTAATCATTCTCTTCAAAAGAGAGGATCACATCTTGACTAACAATCACAACTTGATCAAAATGGTCTCATATTCATTTTTTTCATCCAAATAATTTTGAAAAAATTATAATCAAAGAATATGGAAAAAGTTCAAATGGTGGGATGGTTACAGTTTGTAAAGAAAGAAAAAGAGAACAAAAATAAAAATAAAGAGTCAAAACAAAAAAACAGTATCGGAGAGATCACCGAACGGAGAAAGGGAGCTTAGAAATGGAAGAGGAAAAAGCTGCAGCTTACTACGACGAGCTCACTCGTAAAGGAGAAGGAGCTGCTCGCTTCAAGCAAGGTCTCGGATTTTCCTCCGCCGCCGTTCCGGAGAGAGGATCAGCGATCGCATCGTCCTCTTCGTTTTTCAATCAGTTCGTCAAAGCTTCCAACCCTAAATCCACCGAGGATAACGAAAATGACTCCGAGATCCGATCAATCAGAGATAAGCTGAAGAAGAAGAAGAAGCCTGAAGATCAGCAACATCATAGAGTTCCGGAGAGGAGTCACAGAGAATCGAGCGACCGGCGTCGTTATCGGAGTAGAGAGAGGGATGATATTGATAGAGATAGAAGCCATAGAAGGAGAAGCAGGAGTAGGAGTGCAGAGAGGTCGCGTAGTAGGTATGGGGATAGAGAGCGACGAAGGAGGAGGAGCCGGAGCAGGAGCAGGAGTTCGTCGCCGAGGAGGGAACGTAGGAGGAGCGAAGATGAGAGAAGAGGAAGGAGGAGAGAAGATGTTAAGGAGAAGAAGATTGATTACTCGCGGTTAATCAAAGGCTATGATGATATGGTTGGTATACTGTTGTTATTGTCACTCTCTCATCATATTTCAGTCTTATGTTATATTTTGATGTCATCTTTGTTTATCCTTACTATGTTTACCAGATTCAGCTTTGGTTATTGGAATTCGAATTGTTAGAATCGCTTTGCTCTTCTCTTTAGAGTTTGGGAGTTAGGCTAATACGAACATATAAACCCTGTGAATTCCAATTTGGTAGACCATTCTTGTGAAGGTCTTTCTTTGTTTATGGATTTGGACTCTGTAGTTGTTGTTGTTTTGCGTGTGTCCGTGTGTGATTTGGCATTTTCATTGATTGATATCTTAAGGGTTGGGTTGTGTTGTGTTGCTTTCATGAACAGTCAGCTGCTGAGAGAGTGAAGGCCAAGATGAAGTTCCAGCTTGATGAAACTGGTTAGTAATAATTAGTCGGGTCCCATTAGTGAGATTACATTGATTCTGCTGTCCGTGCTTCTAGCAACTCAGATCTGATTCTCTCGACAACATCTTTTTGAGTGGGATCCATATTCTGGATTGTTACTGTAAAATGGTCGAGCTGTGTTTTTTGGCACTTAATGTTTTGGACTCTTGGCTTTGATTATGCTGATGAGTCATAAGGCCTTTCTTATTGGTCTACTGCAAGACTATTGTAACTAGCCTTTAGTGAATTTGTAGCCTTAAGTTGGAGGTATGGGACTGCTTTAGGGTATTCTGGATTTGTCTAGGTTTTTCTGGTTAGGCATTGGGTCAATAACTGACAACTCGCTAGTTAAAGTCTGTGGTGTGATTTTGTGGGGCTGTGTTATAGCTTTGTATCTCTTAGCATTGAATATTCAATGAGGTTATCTCGTGGAGAAGACTTTCCCTTAGCTTTTCCATATCATCAAAGCAAAACCTTAGTGTTTAGTGACCTCATAGATCTTCATAGCAAATCTGCATATACGGACTTATGTGTGTATGTATTAACTATTTAGTGGTGATATATGAATAGAAACTTCCTGGTGCCTGAGATAGAACAAAAGAACAATAAAGATAATTTTGACCTTGATGAGATTCCTCGCATCTTTTACCTTGTGAAAACGTTCAAATCAGCTCATGTTTGTTTCCTCTCTTGAATTGCAGCTGAGAAAGATACCAGTAAGGGTGCAGGATGGGAACGATTTGAGTTCGACAAAGATGCTCCAGTTGATGATGAGGAAGTAGAAGAAGGTCAGTGTCCTGTGAATTTCTGTATATACTCCAATGGAGCTAAAAGCCGAAAATAACTCTCGTTACTATACTATGTTCGCTTGATGCTAAAAATGTCATATGATTATGCAGGTACTGATGACGATGCTGCCATAGTCAAGCGCATGGGACAAAGCTTTAGGTTTTCCGCCATTGAGGTTTACTAAGTTATTAGCTTTAGTTGTCTATCACTAAACCAAGTCATGGTTTCCATTACATCACAGCTTGAGACGAATTATGTGGTTGAATAAAAACTTGTAGGGGAAAAGGGAAGAGCAACTAAAAGCCGCCCACGATGAGGCCATGTTTGGAGCACCAATAGGCCAAACTCGTATCGGTAACACCGGCGATGATGTTACAGAGACAACAACTAGTGTAGAGGACGATGAAGGAGAAAGCAACAGTGCCGCCACAAATCTTCTTAGCGAAAAGGTAAAAGTTTGTGAACTCTCTTTTTCATTTCTTTTGCTCTTCGAACCAATCGATCCATAAAGTCGTATAAGCTTGTCTATTCCATATTTTGGGTGCTAGGTGCTTGCAAAACAGCAAGGATCTTGGCGTGATCGAGCTCGCAAGTCATGAGATAGTGAAGGTCGACATTACTGTTTGTAGTTTATAGATGTTGTTCCTTGCGAGTTTTTAAATAGAAATTTTGTTCATGTGATCGAAATTGATTTTACTCAACTTTGTTTCCGTCTAATAACTAATATAACTTCCAATCTAATAATTAAGCTCTGTACCACACTAAAAATGTATAGTAAAAAACAAAAACAAAAACATAAACAAGAGAATCTCTTTAGGTAATAAGGTAAACGCCCAAGCGTTTTAAGGTTTAACAAATTACAAGCTGACATGCCTTTGAACCTCTGGCCGCACATTCCAAGTCCTTGACCATCATCCCATGTTTCTCTCCGGATTCTGAGTAGAATGTAGCCTTCTTTAAACGGCTTGCGTTTGCTAAGATGTGCTTTGCAACCTTCCTCTCTTGCCCTGTTCCATAGTACCGTCTCCACTCGAAGATCTCGAGATGGGACGATAAAGAATCCGGTTGGCCAGAGACAATGTTGACATTGGCCCTGACCAAGTTGGGCATATTTTCGAACCGTAAATAGCTGCTGAAGCTGTCCCTAATGCTAAAGTTCTTCAAAGACGGTGTATTAATCACAAACCCATGAACACCACGACCACCTTTAGGCTGAGACGAAGTATAGATAGATAAACTCGTAAGCGTAGGCACGTTGATGGTAAATATCTCCACATTGGTATTATATGAGCTTTGTCGCACTACCAAATCTTCGAGACGTGGACATATGCTTAGAAGCGTTTTCACGGATTCGTCGCTCGAGAACTTGACCGATAAAACGTGGAGAGTTTTGAGGCCTTTTAAACTAACATCAGATGGAACATCCACCAGACTTAGTTTCTCGAGAACAAGGGTTTCAAGTCGTGAAGAGATGTTGTTAATATACAAGATTTCATTCAAGTCCAAGCAACGGTAAACCATGTCGATTCTAAGCTCTCTCAAAGAGCGGTTGAGTGCGACATAAGGTTTGAGATGGGTAACTGCGTCGAGCCTAATGTGAAGGCTCTCTACACATGGTCTTGTGCTAATAAACTTCGTAAACCAATAAAAATATCCCGTACTGTAATATACGATATCACACCTATATGTCTTCACCTCCTTCCAAAGAGATCGCCACCGTTTTGATAACACACTCGTGCTACGACATCTTTAATGGAAAACGAAGACAGTATCTTCAACAGCAAATCATCTGGTAACTCATTGATTGTGATTGTATCATCCCTCCTCTGAATATGAGAATTCTCCATTGTTAGATCCTTAAGCCAGACTCGCAGTTTTGCTCTATCTCTCTCGCATGTATAGATTTTTTTTTTTATAGAGTTTTGGATGCTTAGCCCTATTCAGAATTTGTTTAACTTCTTCCTTTCCTTTCTTTTCAATTCTTTAACTTTTTTTCTTTATTTCCATTTTTATTAAAAATTATCTTTCATATATTTTCCTCTCAAACCGATAAATCCTTGGAGCTCGAATTTACGGTCTATGTGTAGGCTTGTTTAATCCCATATATTTTGGGTTTTATGTGTGGCGTGACCGAGCTAGAAAGTCATGAAAATCCTTTTTATAGTCAAAGTCGACATTATTGATGTAGTTCCTTCAGGGGTGTTGGGAGTTTTTTTAACAGAAATTTTGTTGATGTGTCTGCCTACATTATTATGAGTCTGGTTATAAATAATTTTCGTGGAAATCAGAATTGCTGCGTTGATTACTTGATTATCTAGTAGCAGCAATAACTCAAAGCCATCGAGCTAAATTAGATGTTCAAAACAGAAAACTTGAACTGTTTTTTAAATCCTTAAGTCAAATACGTATTAGTAGTTCTTCTCGAATATAAATAGAATTTTCAACGATCAAGAAGATCATAGGCACAATTGCTAATAACTCACAAATGTTTCCAACTTTAAATTTTTTTATGAGATTAAAAATTTAGGGATATTTGGGTAAACGAGAATATAAGAATCGTATCATGCAACTTGTCCATATGGCACTTGCAATTTGCCATCGTTCAAAGCCACGTCAACAAAAACGGTGCCTCGAAACTCTAAATGGACAGATGTCAAAACATCATTGGCTTCAAGCTGGACGCCTCGCTGCCAATCAGAAATTAGTTCTAAAATTTTACGAAATTACAGAAAACATTTTTAATATTTTTTTTCTTACACACTCTCCCGAAGAAAACGTAAAACCTAAAAGTCAAATAAAAGGCAGTGGGGTCTCTCTACGTCTCCCCAACATTCTCAGAAAAAGCCGTCCTCTTTCCCCTCTGAAGTCTCTCAATCCATCTCCCTCTTCTCTTCGATTCCAATGGCGAGCCGCTGGTTGAGACCTGAGGTAACTTAATCGATCTCCTTCACAATCATTTGATTTCCCCTAAATCTAGCGGATCGAGTCCATCCATTTGATTCTCTTTTGACTACGTTTTTCTCTTTCTAATTCCTCAACGCTTCGTCGTTAGATCTGAATTCGATTCTTCTAAAATTTTAGCTCGTGTGTATACGTGAATCAATCTGAGAACGTGTTCCGTTTGTTTTGATCCCCTCAGGTGTATCCTTTGTTCGCCGCTACCGGAGTTGCCGTTGGGATCTGTGCGTATTCGCTGATAAGAAACATCACCGGAAATCCCGAAGTCAGGTTCGTCTCTCTCCTTATCCTTCCTCCACTTGGCTCTCTTTTGTTGACTCTCTCATGAAGATATTGTTAATACCAAAAACGAAGTCCTTTCATCCTGATACTCGAATAGAATCACTCCATGATCATTTTATGTATTATTAGGGTGTTTGTTAGACTTTTTGATTGGAAACCAGTTATGCAATTCGATATTTGATTATGCTTATGTGACTCTACTAGATTCTGGAATGGAACCAACCATGTAGCTAATAATAGTTAGAAACAGAGATGTTGATGAATGATGAGCTTTTTTGCAATCTTGCGTTATTTGTGTTGAAGTGTGTTTTAAAAGGGTTTGTTTGTTGAATTGGTCAGAGTGACAAAGGAGAATAGGGCAGCTGGGATATTGGACAACCATGCAGAGGGAGAGAAATACAAGGAGAATTTCCTGAGGAAGTTTGTTCGCAACAAGCAGCCTGAGATCATGCCTGGAATCAACAAGTTCTTCACCGATCCCACATACTGAAATCATTCCTTTTTCAACTCGTTTTGTTCACTGGAATTGAATCTCTCTCAGATGTTTTCTTTGTGATATAAAATCTCAGTTCTCAGTTTCTTCACATTGGTGATTATTCCTCCAGCTGAGACTACTTATTATGCTGGGTTTATGCTGTCACTTTTAAGCAGAGAATAACTATTTGTATGGAATTGGAATTGCTGTTTTCAAAACATAACTGCAGTGTTTAACGACAAAATCTCATACTTGAGAGCAATAATCTAAAGTTTCTTCTTGATACTTGTCAAGTTGTCATGATATTTCACAAGTCTTGGCCACATTTTTTTTTTTATTCACAAACAATCAGAAGGGGAACTGGTAACATTGTTGCAAAAATACTTAATGTGTCGTGAAACCAAATAGAAACGGAAATTTGTAAACAGGATTGGGGATTATAATCAGAATACGATCATCTTGATGAGATATATAACCTGAATTTAGATTATGAACAGCCAGAATATGCTGTGACAAAACAGATGCATAGATAAACTAATCTTGTACAAATATTTCAAAGTGTACCTGATGTGAGACATTTCTCTCTCAATAAGCTTTTGAGTGTTGGTTACAAATACAATACAACTAAAGAGGAAAATGCTCCATATCCATCGATGGAAAACCGGTTTGCGCCATTCTGATCCCTCTGAGTAAGCTCTTTGCCTTCTCTTTCTCCTGAAAAACATGAATCTTGTCAGGATCCTTAATCCTTGTAAACAAAGTGCTAACAATGGAGAAAGTTGGAGCAAAAAGAAAAAACTTACAGGGCCACTATAATCAAGAAGACGAGTACAATACACTTCAGCTTCTTCAAACTTCTTGTGAGTCTTAAAATGCGTAGCAAGAAACACCAACGCCTCAAACATATTCGGTCCTTCCAATCCTTCAGCATCCATTCTCTCCAAATCCTTCTCGAAGTAAAACGCAGCTTCCTCGTTCCGTCCAAGCTTCTGGTGAAGCTTCGCCAGCTGGTTCAGAGCTATCCCTTCCGTGTCAGTACAGCTCACAGCTCTCTTGTAACACTTGATGGCCTCTTCAAGCATGTAAAGCTGCTCCGTCTGGTAACACTTCGCCATCGCTATCCACAGCCGAGAATCGTTCGGAAGAAAGAATATGGATTTGCGGAAGTAGTGAAGCGCGTAGAAAGGCATCCCCATCATCTCATACGCTTGTCCTAAACCATACCAAGCTCTGTAATCACAAGGGTTTATATCAACAGCTCGTCGATACGCGTCGATAGCAGCAGGAGTGTTCTTCATCTCAACGTACTCGTGTCCCATAAGAGTCCACGCTGATAAGTACTTCTTGTTCAGTTTCAAAGCTCTCCGGAAGTACATAACCGCCTTCTCGTGCTGACCCTTTAAACTGTAGTAGTTGCCAATGATGCAGCAAGACTCAGGTCTGTACTTATCAGTCAGAAACACCTTATGCGCAAGGTAACTCAACGCAGCGCAAGCTTCTTTCGCATAGAGAACGTTAGAATACAAATCCATATCTTCCACACGGTACGGATCGTTTCTCAGAAGCTCTTCAAACATGATCTCAACCTGGTCAAACTCCCTAAGACTATACTGAGCTTTCGCGGTCTGAGCTTGGATGTAGTTGCTAAAACTGAAAATGCCTTGCAGGTAATCGTACTTGGCCAATGACTCCGTGTGCATTCTGAGTTCTTGATAAGCGTTGCCAAGGAAGAAATCTTTCATCCAGTGGTTGCTTAAATTAAGGCCGTTCAAGATTTCGATGGAAGTACATAGGGACTGCAGCTCAGTCCAAGCGCTCCAGTTCCATGGATAACTGTTCACAGACTCCACGAGAGTGGCACGAGCAAGCGTCTCATTCCCTTTCTCTTTAAGAACAACACCGTACAAGTATAATCCAAAAGAGTCTATTGCTCCGGTCCTCTTCAGCGCTGATAATTCTCTCTCCAGAGATACCAGTTCACGGTTTATGGCATCGCTCTTACCCAAAGGGCCTTCAAGTTCTATCATTTCTTCCTCTTTCCGTTTCTCTCCAGCCTACATGGAAACGATATCAAAGCGAACCACATGTTACATAGCACTATCGGTTTTGGCACCATAAGATATACCCTAAACATTTGCACATTATTGTCTTTCAAAGTTGCACTAGACATCTTTCGTTGACAAGACTTAAAGAACCCTAAAAAGCCATTAAAGCCCCTTCTAAAAGTTCTCTCCATTGTATATATACAATGAAGAAAGCTCTAGCCTTTAGCTAAATCAAAAGGAAGAGATGGAAAAAAAACAGAACATACCAGATAAAGGGCGTAGCAGCGCAAGAAGATTGATTTCTTGCTCATCTGATCACGGAGCACATGGGAAGCTCGTCTGTACTCTCGACAATCGAAGTAGGACTTTGCTAAAAGGTAAAGGTCGCCATCAATCACTTCATCTTCTTCCGGGAGAGGAGAAGCTGCTTGAGAGAAGCCAACAGTAGGTTGTGGTGTTGAGATAGATTCACTGGTGCTGAACCTTCTACGGATGCTCGAGCTTCCTCGCTGGAACCTCGTATTCGAAGGTGTGAAATTAGACGGGTCTTGCTCTATCCCTACAAGCTGCTCTCCTGCCCTGCAATGGTCAAAACCCAAGGAGATTTCAGATATTGGATTGGCTCTTACTTCAACAATGCGAGCAACTGGAAAATGTAAACTTTAATTCGTAATTCACAAATGAGATTGAATCAAAATTCAGATATTACTATCAAAAGAAGACACTTTTCAAGCATTCGAATTTGGAAACAAAACTCAGACATATCAGAACGCAAAACCCACACAACTGATTGTCAATAACCGGAAACTGAATTAATCCGATACCAGATTTTGAGGACAACAGTGAATTCGAATCAACAATTCTGCTTAATCGAAATTAGAATCCGATCACTTCCGGCTTGCCCATGATTGAAAAATGGAAAAAATCCATAAGGATGGCGAAAAAAAATCAATTTTCGATCGAACCAGTGCAGCAGTGAGCTCGAAATTACGAAAATGGGAGAGAATGCATAAGATTAGGGTTTTAAGAAACGAACCATTTTGCGGCGGAGTATAAACAACGGTCGCTTAGCTGTCTAATAGCCGCACGGATTTCTATGCGGCAGCTCTCTTTGGAGACCATAGCAGAAGCAGTAATAACTTAAGTGTTTCAAAAATAATTGAAGAAGATGAATAAATCTGTTCTTCGCCTTGAGATTTCAGAAACATCGCGCTCCATCTAATTATTTTGAAAATTACAGTGAGAACGTGTTTCTTTGGGCCATCGATTAGGTGTCATATACATTGGGCTTCATTACAGGCCCATGAAGATAACACATGGAGACAAAAATAAAATTTCAAAAGTGGCTTTTTACATAATTAATTAATTGTGATATACTGTACTCACATAGTCGCATTGCTTTAGTTTTTGTTTCGTAACCATGTATGTACTTGAAAAAAAAAACACTTTACATCACTGAAAAAAGTGTAAAATATAAAACAAATTTATTATTTAAAAATGTAAAAAAAAAACTAAACTTGGCTAGCTTAATGGAATAATGAGCGTCAAAACAAACACTTTTAGTCATTATAAATTTTGAATAATATTAGTATAATTATATACCTTTTCCCCAAAATGGTGCATTATTATCATACCAATTAAATGGGAATCTGATCAAAGCTACTAATAAAATCAAATTTTAGGAACGATCAGCATTTAAACCGACGCCTTGAACCAAATATTTTAAAAAGTAAAAGTTCCAATGTTCCAAAACCAGTTAAACCAAACCAAAAAATAAACCAAAGGTCCAAAACCAAAGTTTAGACCAAGTCATTGTTAAATCATACAAAAAAACTTAAATGATCTTAGATTTTTAATTTAAAATAGACTTTGTCAGCTTTATTGGTATAATATTTATTCAAAATGTATATTTTCGGTGCGTGTATTTCACTTTTTAGGGAAAAATAAATTTAAGGTAAACTGAACCGAAAAATTAAGGTAAGAGAGTTTTCCAAACCGATTAAACAAAAGAAAAAACCGATACATTCCGACAAGAACCGACCACAGAACCGTAAGCGAAACAGCTTTACCACATTTTGAGTTTGTGTTGTGTATGTGTGAGAGGAAGGAGGAGCCAAAAAAAAGGAGTGAATTTCAAATTGGCGCTCAAGCTTTTAACGTATCTTCCCAAAAATCCTAATTCCCCCCCATTTTTTTTCGAATCGCCTTTTTTCTTAAATCCCTCCAACATCCAACCCAATTCCTCAATCCAATCGATTTCCATCGAAACATGTCAGATCTACCGCCGGAAAAACTCAAAATGGTGCTTTCTCCTTCTTCTTCCATGCCGGAATCTTCTTCCTCTTTGCACCATTCCTACAGTCGGAAACAGAAATCTCTGGGCCTTCTTTGTACCAAGTCAGTTCCTTTTTTCTTTCGCAATTCAATCTTCGCTCTGCTGATTTTTGTTTTTATATCCCCAAAGTTTGCGTCTTGGATTTGTTCTGATTACTAATCGTGTTTTCTCCTTCTTCTCAGTTTCTTAGCTCTATACAATCGAGATGGAATCGAAATGATTGGGCTTGATGATGCTGCCACAAAATTAGGTATTTCGTTTGTCCAGTTTCTGAATTTTCTGTATGTAATTGTTTTCATTTCCGCTTGCATCTGAATTTGATTGGGGTTTTCGGATTTGATTTTTTTTTTCCAGGAGTTGAGAGACGGAGGATCTATGATATTGTTAATGTTCTGGAGAGTGTTGGGGTGAGATTTGTTTCTTCACCGTTCTCCTTTGTTTTCCCACAATTTCTTCAAATCTGTTCTCTTATGGGATTTTGCTGAATTTGATAAAATTTTAGGTTTTGACAAGAAAAGCCAAAAATCAGTATACCTGGAAAGGATTTGCTGCAATTCCAGCAGCGTTGAAGGAGCTACAAGTGAGTTTCTTTTGATTGTGTTTTTGAAATTGAAATCCTTTTTATTTGATATGCAAATTCTCATAGGGTAAGTGTTGATGATGCAGGAAGAAGGGGCTAAGGACACTTTTCACCGTTTTTATACCAACGAGAATCCCAAAGTATGTGATTTGGATTTGGATTTGGTTTCTCTTAACTAAATCTTTGAATTTGCTGTCTTTATGTTTAAACATCTAATATTTTTCCAGGTATCTGATGATGAGGATGATGAGGAAGAGTCTTCTCAGCCGCTTTCTAGTAGCCAGACTGATAGCTCAAAGCCTGGCTCTCTTCCCCAATCTTCAGATTCGTCTAAAATAGGTATTTTCTTTTGTGTGTTTGGTTTCATTGCAAAGTAGATTCAGTGATGTTTCCAAGTCCTAAGTTAGATTAAGAACTAGCCGTCTTGTCAAATATATAAGTGAATTCGTATGAGATTTTGAGATATTATGTGGGTTTTCTAACATTTCGTTGGTTGGTTTGGTTATGTGTGACAGATAATCGACGAGAGAAGTCTTTAGGACTGCTAACTCAGAACTTTATCAAACTCTTTGTCTGCTCTGATGAAGTAAGTGAAAAGGTCAAAGATTCGTTCTACGAACTAAACGAATAGTTATTCACCAAGTTGCTGAAGATTTGTTTTTGAATGTGCTTTAACTGTTTAGGCTAGGATCATCTCCCTTGATGAGGCTGCAAAATTACTGCTTGGTGATGCTCACAATACATCAATAATGAGAAGTAATTATCTTCTTCATCCTGTGACTTTCAGACTCTTATACTCACTTGAGATAAATTAATCTATGAGTTTGTTGACACATTGAGTATTTTTCTGCAGCAAAAGTGAGGAGGCTTTATGATATTGCGAATGTCTTGTCATCAATGAATCTCATTGAGAAGGTAAACTCAAACCACCATAGCTGCAATGTTTATGAATCGCATCATCTATGATCTATAGCTGTTAAATTTAGTCTTACATACGATCTGTTTTCCTCTGGTGACAGACTCACACCTTGGATTCTCGAAAGCCAGCTTTCAAATGGTTGGGATACAACGGCGAGCCTACTTTCACGCTGAGCAGCGATTTGATGCAAATGGAATCGAGAAAAAGAGTATTCGGAACTGATATTACAAACGTCAGTGTCAAGAGAAGCAAAACCAATGAAAATGCTTCAGAGAGGAGGCTGAAGATGAAGAAACATGCAGTAGCAGAGAGTTCTTACAACAAAAGCTTTGATGCTTATGAATCAAGACATGGATCATCAAGAGGTTACCAGTTTGGTCCTTTTGCACCAGCCACTGGTACATGTCCAACTGCTGCTATGGAGGAAAACTCTGGGAGAGCTTTTGATGTGGAGAATCTGGTTTCAGGTTACCGTCCCTCTTACCAAAACCAAGGTAAACATATCTACTCATACCCAATTAGACAAGATTATGTTATAAAAACAAATGATGTGAAATAATCTCTTTCTTGTTCTGAACAAAATTTTCAGTTTTGAAAGACCTCTTTGCACATTACATGGACGCTTGGAAGTCATGGTACAGCGAAGTCACTCAGAAGAATCCATTACCAAATACATCACCGCACCATTAGAGATATTCTTCTTCTTTTTCTTCATCTCTTTACCTTTGCACATTTCTTTTGACCGCTTTGGGTTTAGTTTCTCCGCACAATTTGTACCTGCAAGGATCAGACATTAATCTGTCGATTGCACACCCTTTGTGCTTCTCAAGTCACTTAAGGCTGTAGCAACCCACTTATGTTTGATTCTGATGCCAGTTGTATGCAAATTGTTTTGAGAGAAACAAACAAAAGACAAACATCATCCCATCGTGATCTTTTTTTAATAGAATTTTAAAGTAACAACACATCAAAGTATCTATTACAGAAGGTTTTCTTGGTTATCGTGGTAATGGTAAACTCTGATTATTACATTCGTTCAAGGAAATATTAGAAAGTGGTAAAGATCGTTTGTTGTCTCAGAGCTTGGAAGGAGGTTTGTACCATCCCCATGGCTCATCAGAGATATACTGAGTCACCTGCTTCACGCTCAAGTAGTTCTCAAGTCCCCTGCAATGGAACCAAATATGTTTTAATTCAACATACAGGAGAACAAAATATTCAATTCTTGAACTTTCAAGGTTCGATTAGTTATGGACACAATCCCATCTACTTGAGGATTTTGTTCACACTTGTAGCTAAAGAGAGAGATATAGACTAACCATTCTCCTAATTCACGGCCAAACCCACTGCGTTTGGTTCCACCCCATGGAGCTTGGCTGAAGCATGGCTGAGAGCAGTTGACCCACACAATTCCAGCCTCGAAAGCCTGAAAAACGCAATGAACAGGATTCATAAACTCAAGAGAAAAAGTTCAATCACGAGATGCGTGCAGGTGCAGAGCAATTACTGGTGTTTTTTTTTGCTATCAGTAAAGTTAGATACTCACCTTGCTAACGCGATCACACCTCTCCAGATCATTTGATAATACAGCACCGGCTAATCCATACCTGCAAATAGTTCAAATACAGTCAGGAACTATAGAAGCTAATATAATTTCTTGTTCAAAAAAGAAGAAAAATCTAAACTCACTGGGAGTCATTTGCCAGATGAATTGCCTCATCCTCGGTGGAGAATGTTTTGACACACAGCACAGGACCAAAGACTTCCTCTCTCCAGATTTCCATTGAAGTAGTCACATTTGAAATTATTGCAGGTTCAACAAAATATCCCTTCTTTAAATGCTGCCAGTGATACATAAATAACATTTTTGAAGTGCTCTGGATAGTATTTGGACATGCAAAGAAGATTAGTCTCTATATATGTCATGTACCTGAGGACGAGCTCCTCCGCAAAGGACAGTTGCACCTTCATTCCTAGCGTTTGAGACAAACTTCACTACTCTCTCGTACTGCATATGATTAGCAGGTGAGAATAAACTAAAAAAACTTTTGTGATTAACCCAAACTGATAGTTAATAAGGTTTTAGGCGGCATGAGGTGTTGATTCTTGAGAATATCAATTTTGTTCAGCAATGTTACCTGTCCTTTGCTGACAACCGGACCAAGCCTACAGCCTTCTTCAAAAGGATCTGAAATCTTAATGTTCTTCGTCCACTTTACCAGCTTGTCCAAAAATTCGCCAGCAATCCGTTCCTAGCATTTCACCAGAATTTCAGCATTACAAGAAGTAGTACAGTGAAGCATCTCTATCCTACTTTTATCAGTGGATCACAAGGATTTAAGATCACTGATACTTATCAACAAATCTATCCGAATTGCAGATGACCAGTCTTACTTACCCATAAAAATGAAAGAATATAAAATCAACTAACACTGTGTGAAGAGGTTAGAAATTGTCGATTATGTGCTCACTTACATGCACAAGAAGTCGAGATGTCGCACTGCAAATCTGACCATTCGTCCAGAAACAACCAAACATAGTCCATTCCACAGCTGTTTAGAACAAAAAATTCATCACTAATTAAACCAATAGTTACGAATGCATATAGCATGGTTTGCTCAAGGTTCCAAAAGTACCAACCTTTGTCAATGTCAACATCATCAAAGACAACGATAGGGCTTTTTCCCCCCAACTCCAAGGAAACAGGCTGTGGAATAAAAAATACAAGATTAATACACAGACCTCAAAAAAATGACAGGAGAAATAAACAGAGCCCAGATAGATACTTGTTATAAACGAAAGAATTATGGATAGTTGAACTTACTTTAACCAATCGGGCAGCAGAAGTCATAATGTTGATTCCAGTTGCTGTGCTTCCAGTGAATACAACCTGGTAAAGGCTACAATATCAGTATATCGACTAATCCAGAAAAAGCAAGAATAAATGCTCTGGCTTCAATTGTTTGACTTTCAGGATACCGGTTAGGATCAAACAGAATATAATCAGACCTTGTCAACATGTGGATGTGATGCCAGTGGAGCACCTGCTTCAGTTCCTAAACCAGTCAGAATATTAAGAACACCAGGTGGCAGACCCACCTCGCGGCAAATATCAGCAAGCTCCAAACATGTCCTGAAGTAAAACCGCATCAGACTGGCGTGTTCATGAGATAAAAAGTTGAAAAGGCTACCTATGGTGTCAACAGAAATCAAGTACGCACACGGAGGCCAACTCTGAAGGTTTCAGTATTGCTGTGCACCCAGCAGCAAGCGAAGGAGCAACTTTCCAGACAGCCATTAGTAACGGATAATTCCTTCAATGCCAATACAGGTTATTAGCTGCATAATACTGGTATCGTTTCAAACATATAGTCTGTATAAAACGGCATAAAGATCACTTGAGGATCAATGTAATATCGATATGCAGCTGCCTAAGGAACAATTGAATATGTTTATTCTGTACACAGTTAAAAAGCTGTAGGAACATAGTCAACGAAATATACCATGGAGTAATCAGCCCAACTACGCCAATGGGTTCCTTGAGAACGTAGCCCTTAAAAGTATCTAACGGAAGAGAAAGAGGAGCCTTCTGCTTTGCATCTAAGCCTTCAGCAAGGTCAGCATAATATTCAAAACATCCAGCAACATCATCCTGCAAGGGTTACAAGCAACCACGTATGACATTTGAATCACAAACTTGCCAAAATATTCACAAAAAGCAAAGTGAGAATACCATGTCCCATGCTGCTTCCTCTAGAGGTTTACCACAATCAATAGCCTCAAGATTAGCTAGTTCAGACTTTCTCTCTGTTACCTGGATATGGACGTACATATGACAACACAAACAGTTACAGTATGCTATGGAAAGAATGCAACATGAGAGGCACATAGATTTGGTACCTTAGCTGCAATAGCACGTAAGTATTTGGCACGAACAGCTCCAGATGCTTTAGCCCAATCTTTTCCTTTGTTCCTAGTAAGAGCTTTCCTAGCAGCTTCCACCGCCAGCTCCACATCTTCAGAAGTTGCAGCTGGAATATAGCCTAAAACACCACCAATCCAAAGTTTAATTTTAAGAAACTTTAAACACTAACGAAGAACTCCATCAGCATAAGAGGAAATCCAAAAGTTCAACTGGATATCTTCTCCTCCTACATAACCACACAGATCTGACGCAAAAACAGCTTCCGATCCAGTTCATAAACCCGCAATCACAGAAGAAATTATGATCATCGCAAGCAGCTAAAGTTCAAAGGTCTATGAATTTGCGAATCAAGTATACAGTAAATAGGAAATTCATAGTCCTTATCTCAGCTGATTGAATCGAAAACTCGCGGAAATTGATTGATCCAGTTCAAAAAGTGAGCAAACCGAGAAAGAAAAAACTACCGATGATGTCTTCGGTAGCGGGATTGACAACAGGGAGAGTTTTACGGCGGACGGGCTCTGTCCATTGACCGCCGATGAAGAGTTGCCGTCTCGGCACCGTAATCGCCATACTCTCTCTCTCTGCTACTAGAGGAGGTGAAGCTACTAAATCAATCAATCGATCGTTGGACTTTCTTTTTTCGTTGTCGATATCTTTGCCGATTTTCTTATCAGTGTTTTAAAATGTTGCTTTGTTAAATTGGTTTATTATTTAAATAGTAGTCGGTCTTCAAATCGTGCCCAACATGTGGCCAATAGCGAAATACTTTCTTCGATCGGAGTATATAAAATTAATTAAGCCATTAAAAAAATGTATATTCCGATCTTCACAGAATCAAACAATTCAGCCCATTCCACGGAACGATAAAAAGATCACAAGAATCCAAAAACGATATCGAAAAGTCTTAATCAATCCAAAATATACAACAAATCCAATTTTTTATTCATAGGTGAAATCGAAACAGAATTAGAGAGAGAGAAATGAATCAATTCTTGGTGGTGGTTTTGTGATACTTGTCTTTGACCCAATTAAGACCCAGCGACGTTCCTATCTTCACCTTTTTCAACCCCGAACTCGCCGCCGCTTTCGTCTTCCCCAATCCAGCTCCCACCTTCTCCTTATACTTCGCCGACGATGATGTACCGCCGTTTTTACCGCCGTCGGTCTTGTTTCCCGACGGTTGACTGCTGTCCCACTGATCGGCCCAAGAATTTTTCTCCATATTGTCTATGTGAGAGAGAGAGAGAGAGAGAGAAGAGAGAGAGAGATTTGGATTAGGTGATAAAACGTATTTTATTTAATTAAAATCGTGATTAATAAACAAGACACGCATTTTATAAGGTTTGTTGGGGTAGAGAGAAGATCTAATTAATTTAAACAAGCTGGCAATAATCAAAAATATTTTGTGGAGTATTGTGATTAAATGGTAATTAAACTGAATCTGTATTATGTTTATCTTTTCGTTACGTGTGTGTATAATAAATTAATGATATTTCCTAGTACAGATTATGAAATAGTCTCATTATGTACATTTTGTATTTAGTTAATGCAAACTTTGTGCTTATCTCTTTGACTTTCCAGAGTCTTTCCTCTGTAAATGCAGTAAATACATTTCTTCTTTCCACGATTTTTGTTTCCTTCTCTCTTAGCAAATCCTAAGTTTTATCTACATGTCACCTAATTACGGTCCTTAAGACGGTTAAAAACTATGGGCCTCATCCAATATCCCATATTGGGCCAATATTTTTGGGCTTATCGCAAACAGCTGAGAATTTGAATTTGCTTTGTCTTTGTTTTAACCAAAAACATAGGCTAATCAATCATCCAAGTCAGTCTAATCCGCTTTTAAAATCTGCAAAACCCACAAATTATTGGCCTTTATTCAGATTTATCTTTAAATCAAAATAAAAAGTATACTTACAAGTTACAACAATCAGAGATAAAATGTATATATAAATTAAACATTTCATAGGTAGATAGCAGGAGTAAATAAATTATGTACTAACACTTATAAAATCGTCCCATCAAAATGTGTATGTAAAATATGAAAGCAAAAGTTTAAATCATATGAACTAGGATATTGAGTATATAACTAAATGTCAATGATATATTGTTTCATGGATCACGGAACATACGTGCATGAATGCATGATACCTCTCAGTAGTCAGTGAACCTAGTTGGTTTTGTGAGAGCTTGACTTTGATTGACCGATCTATGCCATTGTCTTAGGATGCTAAAACGCTTAAGTGCAATGTTGGCCTTGTATTACTCGAATAAAGGTTGCTAGCCGGATTGTCTAAGAAGTTATCTTGTTTCTTTATCCTCAAGAACACTCTTTTGCATATTTTTAAGTAAAGATCGCGTATTGACTTCTCCGGAAAACCGAGAGACCCGTTTTGGTTAGTCGGAATGATTTTGATGTGATAAATCCATATATCGTTGTTTGATTGGAATGTGCAAAATATCTCCGAATAAAATGTGAAAGACATTTCATTTGCTTTTACATTTTAGATTTTTTTCATTCTTTGTTACTCGTGCAAGATGGAAAGATTCACTTATGAATTTTGAGATTTGTGATAATAGTTAATAATTTGGCGAGAGAGTTCAGAATGGTGTATAGAGACATTTAGCAACTTTTCGTCACTCTTTTTAAGGTACTATTAAAATGTAGTGCACATACATAATCAATTAATAAAGCAATCGTTATTAACTTCCAAACCCCCACCAACTCATAATACCTTACTATTTTCTTCAAAATTTTGATTTTCAGACTTAAACCCGAAACCCAAAGTGTCTACTTGAATAAACTGATTTCAACGGATGCAACAACAAGAAGGCACGCTTATTTGAGCCATTGCACATCTAAAAACAAAAATATGTTTGGTATATTTTTTCGTCTGTTTCTGTTTGTTATGTAGTTTTCGAAACTTAAAAGTAATGCTTAACATCGTGTTTGAAAATTGAAAATTTGAAATACTATGGTCTAAATATTAAGCGGAACATATTTGTGTAAATCGGATGTGTTGTGGAAAACTTAATAGATACAGAAATGGTACATTCGCTATGATGTGGAGTAAAACCGACAAGAAAAAAACACCAATAAATGTGTCTCGAGGAGGAGATCTTACGAATTCTTAAATGTATACGTCCAAATATCGAACGAGAAACTTATGGGTATGTAAATGTACGTACACATTTCTTAGTCACACTAGCCATCATAACATTCTTTGACCGTACCAAAGCGACACAATCATTCGTATATAAGGAATGATCTACCACATATATATATATATATATATCATCTATATCATCTATATACTTTCCCATATAATATATATGTTATATATATATATCAATATGACATGAACATGCTTCATGTTTTTTATCAAAAAAAGAACAAGCTTCATGCTTTAAATTTCACGAAACATTATTCACCACTTCCACGCATCATTAATGATACACCGACGATGAGGCAATTCAGCTGGCAAATGAACAAATTCAGCATACATATACATATACATAAATCGTTGTTCGTATATAACAGATTATTTATTACCTTGTGTTAGATTTTCATCGAGCCGTGAGAAAATTATCCAAAATGCATAAAATGATACAACCATCATATATGGGACATAATTCATTGAGTAGTATTTAATAGAAGATCGATCATAGACATATAGTGATACATGTAGATTCATAAATCTAAAAAAGCCAAACGAAAACACCGATCGAAAAAGAGAAATCCAGAAGAAAAGAAGAAGCAGCAAATAGAAGAACAAAAGGTAGTCAAAAGAAAAAGAAACACAAAAAAAAAGAGAAGAAAGAGGTAACAAAAACACACTTGATTAGAAGATCGCTTTAAGCAGCGAAGGATCGGACCGAGACGCTTGATTCCCCTTTCGGATCTCGTACGCACACGTGGGTGATGATACAAACATATGATGATATGATCTGATCAAGAATCGATCTAAATGAAAAAGTAGAGTGAGATGAGGTAAACCCTAATCTTAATATATCGATGATTATGATGATAATCAACAACTTCTTCTTCTTTTTCTTGGGATTCTTGATCTTTGGTTTGTGTGATGGTATCTTCTTCTTGGGTACTGGGACTTGGGATGTGAAGAGAAAGAAGAAGGAGAAGAAGACGACGAAGATGAAGATGAATCATCATCATCACTACCATCATGATGTGGGGAATTAAAGTGGAGGTAGAGAGAGAGAGAAGTATGGTTGTAATGATGATGAGGGATGAATAGAAGTCAGAGGTAGGGGAGGAAACTTATCATTACCACTTTGAACAAAATGTTTTCTAGCTTCTCTTTTTTTTGGGCCTCCAAGTAATATCCTAAGTCCTAACCCTATCTTTATGCCCTTGAGCTTTTCTCTCTCTAGAGTTGTGAGGAGAGAAATAGAGGGAGAGACAGAAATGCGTTTGTGAATAATTGTGATAGGAGGAGTAATACTTTTTCTAATTGCCAAAAAAGAAACACACAATATGTAGTACCTTTTTTTACATGATCTCTACTTTATACTAATTTTATTAGGATCTGTTAAAGAAACACAATATGTATCTAATTATATATAAACTATGTTGATTCATAACTTTCTGAAAAAACAAAAGACAATTCGATTTTATCGTTTCAAGTTTCAAACGGCATAATTTTTAGGAGTCATGATTTATATTGACATTTTATCTGTTACTATTTTATAAGTGCAACTAAGAGTAAATCTCGTAAATCAAAACACATCAAAAAAGAATAAAGAACAAATGTCGCCAGATTTAACAGAACGTAACTATCTAACTAGTAGAATCACACTAGCACAAATACAAATATTTTGATGACCTTCTTAACATTCTTCTACTGGAAAGTGTAGAGTAACACAAATCCTTCAGCCTCGAATATATTCGAGCTTGGTTTTCTTCCAAATTGGTGTTCCCTTTTAAAATTTTAACGTATGCCTTATATTTTAAGTTCATTTGAATTTTAAAGTAACGATTATTATTTTTTTTTTTCCTAAAGAAATGCTAAAGGATGGATCAAACTTTTTGATCGATCGGGCTTATTCTAAAAGCACATGGATATTCTTTCTATATGCAAAAACATTATGTCGAATCCATTAACCAACTTTTTCAGTTCATTCTCAGTGCTTTATTTTTTCCTACTTTAAAGTTTAAATTGATTAATATCAACAATATTCTAAGTTAAAGGGGTCTTTCCACCAAACGTGACATGTCTGTTTCTTAGTTGTAATTAGAAATACGCTAGTTTACTATGAATGCATCAAGATCTAAATCATTGCTGGCAATAAGAAAATCCCATAGTCACTATTTACTTATTAGGTTTTTTAATTGTGTTTTGAGTTTGATTACTCACTCTATGAATCGTGCTCACTCACTATCTTCGACATATTAGTATTATCTTCTGGACACAATTTATAATACATATTTGTAATAGCTTATAAACTGTAAATTACTATTATATTTTATATCAATACTCATTTAAAAGGACAATTTCTATCTTTGCAGCAAAATGTACTTATAAGCACAGACCAAGTTGTTATAGTTTCCTCAAACTATGTAAATGTAATGTTAAGACTTGATAGTCTAGGCTAACATTCAATCAGTGTAATTTTTTCATTATTTGATCAATGTCATAATTTGAAATATTGTTCGGTTTGCTCCGACTACGGGGACTAGTGGACTACGAATGTACTTTTAGCTATTTTTTGTTTTCGTTGAGAAAAACTCATATACTCTTAGCTATTTCAACATTAAACTTGCATGCAAACAAGATTTATAATCATTTATATTTTAATATAGTAAGATAGAAGAAGAAAATCATAGAATTACTCTACCACATTTTAGTGATCATCCTACCATATTTTCTACTTTCACAATTTTTTTTTTCTTTCTTTCCGCAATAAAATTGTCTTTCTAGTCAACTGAATTTACTGACGAAAGGAAAAGGCTGTTTGTGACTGTATTTGGGGAGTAAATAGATTACTAAATTGCTAATAACATGAGCTTTATTGGGTTTAGTTAAAGAAGGAGAATTTTTTGGCAGTCCATGTCTTATTATACTCTACCATAAGCCATTTAGTTATCCATATTCATCTGTTATTAAAATTTAAAAGTGACGACAGTCAGAGGACAAAAAAAAAGTAATGACAGAGGAATCAAAATCATGAAACTCAGGAAAGGCAGTGCCTTGAAACCACCAGAGAGAGAGAATGAGGTTTTTATTTATTTTCCTGTAAAAGCAACCTCAATTTATGCAATTATCTTTCTGCCATTCTTTTAAAACAGTATACTATTAAAAAAAAAAAGTTTAGAAGAAACAAAGATAAAGAATGAACTTATCTAAAAGAAATGCTGTTTCTTGAAATTCGGAATTTCCCCCTCAAAAGTACTAAAATGTCAGCGTTCTTATTATGAATAAACAAGTGCTAATATGTTGTGGACTTGTGGGCGCGCAATGCGCATGGCAAAACTTTACTTCTAGCAAAACAAGTTAATTCAAACCTTTTGGGTTTATTACATGAATTATATGATTATATCCTTCGTAATTTTGAATGTGCACCCCACTTGAAAAATGTACTTGTGAAACCATATTAAAAAAAAAAAAAATCAGAAACATAATTTCAGCAGTTTGTCTCCTACAATTTCGCATCATACTGTTGAGTACTGAGTATTGAGTATTGAGTAGAGAAGAGCGGATTAAAACGTTGAACGGTGGGTGAGCCATCAACCTCAACCCTCAAACGTAGGGTGCAAATGAATAAAACTTTAACATAGTTTCATTTTTTTTTTTTGCAATTTTATATAATTTTCTCATAATATATTTCCTCTTTCCCTCTACTCACCATCATGGATGGAGTTGAGTTGCCATGGCTACAAAGTTCATGGTCACTATAATGGGCTTAGCCCAAAGAATATAATTAGTAAAGTACACCTAAAGTTTCAACGAGGCAAGATTCCTAATGGGCCAAACATGTTATGCTCTGACATTTGGGTGGAATTTAAAATTTTGCAGAAGCTAAGACATTGTTGCATCCGGTGTTTAATAAGTCCGGTAAAACTACAAGTGTAGCAGCATTTTAGGTGTTTTTTTTTGTTAAAAAGCATTTTAGGTGTTACACATTCATATAATTACTTTACCTTTTTTTTTTTCTTTCAGATTAATAAATGTTAATTAAGCTCATTTTTAACAGTATTAATCATAGTCAATCGAAACTTTTATTTACATTAAATGATTTACTAAAATTTGAAACACTAGACTTGTTGAACTTTTAGTGCTTGTTGCTTTCAGTGCTCTCTCTTTTTGTTTTGTTTTTGATTGTTTAAGCTCAAATTTAATGAGAAACCAGAAAATGCGTCTTAAATGAAGGAGAATCGGATCCAAATCCTCGTTTTTATCGGGTGAGAGGTTCTCGGTTTTGGTATATAATTTCCGGTTTAAGCTGTATATTCTCTGACTCAGTCCAATGACAAGACTAGTACGTAATACGTAGAAAGAATCTCTCTCACCGACGACGACAACGACGACGAATTCGAAGACCGTACGTGTACTACATTCTACTCTTCTCTCTCTCCCATCACGCTCACACCACTCTCACTGACACACAATTTCTGTTTTCGCTTCTATAGGAATCCACATTGCTTGACCTCAGTCTCAGAAAATACATTTGACCCAAGAACCCAGAAGGAAGTCGGAATTTTTCTTCTTCATTTCTCCTCGCAGGTAACTTTTGTTGTATCCTTGTCTTTTGTGCTATTAAAGTTTCGATTTTTATTGGTTTTACAGATTGCTAATTTGATCAAGGTTTTCACATTCCTGATTCGATTTTGTTTTCTCTATAATTTGGGGGATTATTTCGTGATCAAATGTGAGCAATTTGATGTTTTGATTTAGTAAAATGTGTTTTTTTTTGTTTCCTTTTTGGGTGCAGAGCAGTTGAAAGCAGCGATAAAATCACAAAACCTAGATAAGAAAAACCCTAAGAGAAGCCTTTTGGGAGTTTTAGCCAGGAAAAATCGAATCTAGTGGCTTTAGGCTATGGCTGGCTTGAAATGTGATGGGAAATTTCCGGTGACGGAGGAGGTATCAATGGAAGAAGATGATGGTGGTGATGAAACGAGGAAGATTGGAGTCTCTGGAGGAAATATATCACTTGTTGTTGATTTTAGTGGCTCTTTGACTCGGACTAGATCTCAAAATGTTTCCCCAAATGAGAATCTTGTTAAGGAAAATCAAACTCAGGAGCTTCTGGTTGGGAATCTTGTATGGACGATGACTAAATCCAAGAAATGGTGGCCAGGGGAAGTTGTTGGTTTCAGAGCTGATGCAAAGGAGAGTTTCATGGTTAGACATCTTGGTGAGAGCCAGCTTGTTTCTTGGTGCGCACCTTCAAAGCTGAAGCCTTTCAAGGAGAGCTTTGAGAAGCTGGTGAATCAAAGAAACGACAATGGCTTTTTCGCTGCGGTAGAGAATGCTATGACCCTGTTGGGAAACTCGTTGAAGCTTGAGATGACTTGTTCTTGCATTGCTGAGAAGAACGGAGTAATGCCGTCTCAATATGGTAAAACTCGGAAGACGAAGCCTTTGATACTTCGTGAATTCTCTGTGGATCGGTTGGAACCAAAAGATTTTGTCTTTGAGTTGAAGAATCTGGCGAAATGTGTTTCGAATGGTGGGATACTTGAGATGACAGTTATGCAGAGTCGGTTATCAGCTTTTTACACTTTCTTTGGGCATAGGCAGGTACCAATGAGCGAGCTACAACAAAACGAGGTTAGGAAAGTGTTCACTGCAGCTAAGATGAAAGAGAGTCAGTTCGTTGGTTCTCCGTCCGTTGTTGCAGGTAGTAGCAGGAGGAAGTTTCGGAAAGAATGGTTTAGGAAATTTGTCAGTGAGGTTGACAATGTGTCTGCGAGAAACGATTTAGTGAATGCGTCTCCTTCTGATTTGGTATCTAAACTCAAGCTGCTTGCTGTGGGCTACAGTTGTTCAGAAGAGACTGAAGATATTGGTCTCTTTGAGTGGTTCTTCTCCAAATTCAGAATTTCTGTGTATCATGATGAGAATGCTTACATGATGCAGTTGGGTAACATGGCTGGTTTGAAGGATTTGATGCTAGCTAAAGATGCAAATCCAGGTTCTACGCAGAAAACCTCCATGTCAAAAACATTAGGGAAGTCAAAGATTGTTTCAGTTGCTGATACTGAGCAGAAGAAGACCTTTGAGACGCAGAAATCAGTGAAGTCAAAGATCGAGACTTTGACTGGTGTTTCAGTTGCTGATACTGAGCTGAAGACCTTTGAGTCGCAGAAATCAGAGAAGTCAAAGATCGAGACTCTTAATGGCGTT